TAATTTATTTTTTTCCTCGCACATTTTAGTTCGAAAAGAACTATTCAATTTTGCTAAAAACTACAAGTATCCCGTATTGGGCCTCAAATGATAATGACCTATTCACTATTAAATAACATTTGAATGCTTCCGCGTAAAAATGTAGTTCATCCATACATGTATTACAACAAATTTCACAGTGTATATTATATTTTATCTACAACATCAAATATCTAACAACACCAAAACTATACATATAACGACGAAACAGTACATTTATAATGCAAATTGTCAATATCAAGCAGTTAACAGGCGGATGAATACATCCCAGTGTAAGATTCCGCGAAATGTCACATAAAGGTGCAAGACAGATCAGACGAGATAGAAAAATCTAGCATGGGGTATGACGTGGGATATCTCTGTCTGAGGTGCGAGAAATATTAACAAGGCAAAGATTACTGGTGGTCAATCAGACTGGTCTTTTTTCAAACAAACCGACTAATGTCATTAGACAAAACACAACTTTTTATTTCAACAAACTGACATCTAAATTAGCTGATTTAGGGCAATGTGAAAAGCCATAGTGACAAGCAACACTTTGTGAAAGTAAGTAGCAAATGAAAAGAAATCAAGATGAATTTATGACAATAAATTATAATGAACATGATGTCGATAAAATCTAATGCTTTAACACATATTCCTCAAGTCAAACCATTGTAGATGACCAAAGTCCTTTGTTTTTGCAATAATATGGCAGTTGGTTGAAACATGTTGAACATATCATATACAATGTGACAGCTACCCTAATCATAGTTCGGATAATGCCACTGTAGTTGTACATCATGAACTGTGTTGTGGATTGCCAGTGAAAATGATTTATTGATTCATGATAATTGTAACATAAAAAGAAAAACAAAATCAGGAATGAGGCGGGAGAGTGCAATTTGGATATTGTTTGAAAAGAGCATGTGTAGCGCAATAATTTCAATTATCACGGTTATTCATTTACAGATTAATTTGTAAAGTTTGTCTAGTGGGGCTTAATAATATGTTATTTACAGAGTGTGTGTGTATCATAAATGGTGGTCGTGGGTCCATTAACGACATTGCTCTAGATTGAAATAATAAAATCTGTATTTCATTTATAATATGCAATAGCGTGCTGTATATTTGCATTGAATAAACATTATTATGAAAACATTATCGTAAGCCTATATATATCCTGTAGCTTCCTAGTTTCCAACCATTGAACCCCTGGTCCTTCATTCTTTTGTTCTTGTTACTTCTTTCCTGTAGTAGGAATCGATGATATTATTGTCAAAACTATATGAATGATATTTTAATATAGAAGCTAATGACGAAATGAAGTGAATGCTAAAATGACAAATCACGATCTCCTTTTAACGTAATCATTGCGCAGGGAATACCAGATATATATTTAACTTGAAGCGTCTGTGGCGAGTAACATTAAGTTAATGTAGGTCAAGAACCGCTTGATCAGCCCCTTCCAAATCAAACTATAACGAGACGATGTTTGACGTCTATCGAGCTAGAGGTAATGTTTGCTCGTGTATGTTAATACTTTGTTGCCAATCTTTGTTATATCAATGTATTTATGACATACAAAACAAGCGAAGCATGGGCTAGATGCTACAGTAAACAACCTAGTTGTTCTTGAGTATATGTAGAGAGACATCGTTTACTTTTTAGCAGTAGAGTTTCTTTTATAATCTAACGACAAGGAGCAAAGTTACACTCATTTGACATACATTTGGTCAATAAATAATTTAAAATGTTTAAGTAGCTGTTATTGATATACTTTTGTAAATAATATTTTGTCATTTCTGTAAATGTTTTCCCCGTTTGTTAAAACAAGTACCTGAACACTGGTTTTAACCCTATTTTATTTAATATTATATCATTTCATGTTAATCTTAAACAGAGCAATAAATCTACGTCCTGTCCTTTGATTCAAATAAATGAAACAGATATTGCATCTGATGACTAATGGGCAGGTAGTTAGATCCTATTTGGGGATCCGGATGCATACTAAATGGAGAAAAAATACAATACTTCGATATACAATAAGTGGTTGGTAAAATCATTGTGAGTGGTTAAAATCCATACTGTTCACCAAATGTGATGGTAAACTAAGAACTCGGCCTCAAACCATGCAGCTATACTGATTTTATATCCGAAATGTCCGAAAGAGTGTTTTCTGAATGTTTCCGAATGTCAAAGATATGGCTCTCCGGAATATTCTCATTCGAATAACAACTAATGTAACGTTAAGGTAACTGGGGTAGTATGATTCGTTCTGACGTTTATCCAATGAGAAACTCAAATCACTTCAACCGCCGCAGCTTCATGTGTAAAACATACCAAATTTATTTGTAGTTATAATATTGAGCTTTGAAAATATTGGTACATAACACACTCAGCTTTAATGCAGATATTGCTTAAACGATTTTATGGTAGTACACATAATGTAAATCCATATTCTCAATTTTCGAGATATAAATCTTACGAGATAAATATGACGTATAATTTTACTGTAATGCATCCATGCATTTTATTTTGTTGCGTTTGAGTGATGCTTTTTCTGAGCTTTTGGCTCGTAGCTTAGAAATATAAAACATAGAAGTAATTTCTGGGCTAACATTGAGGAAGTATCTAGTAAAACTGTCGCGTTGTTCTTCTGACATAGCCCGATTCTTAGATAGAGATAGCTAATACGTATTGGGACTATTGTTATACAAATAAAACAGTATATGTATTAGCCGCTATCAAAGACAGAAATCTGTTTGCCTTTTTGCTACATGTCTTGAAGAAAATATTATTCTATGTTGTCGGTTTCTTTTGTTTTTGCCAGCAGTCGTCTTCATCTTAAATGTTATGCAATTACAGTAATATTGGAAGATGCAAGCTAAAACGACAGAGTAACCCAATGGTAGAAGCTAAGTAGCGCGGGGTTGAGACGGCGATGGAGCAGACGACACATTTCAACCACAAACACGTTTTTGTAAGAAACACGTTACTTTGGACCGCAAATATTTTCATTTTAACATCATTTCTATCTGATCGAACACTGAAACAATGTGTTTGCAAGTGAAATGGATAAATTCTGTACCGATCGTAGAATACGCATTTAAAGGATATCAACGAAGAATCAGTATCTATGATATCAAGTACTTTGGCTACATTTACAAACCGATCTTATTAATGGTTTTGCAGGGTTCTCCCCAGAATTTTTTTAAGCTGATATGTTTCATTTGCAACGAACATTCAAGACGGACACGCTAATATAATACCTTATAATACCTTGTCAAACCTAAAAGGGGGGGGTGTTAATATTATGTTTAAAAAGTTACTTTTAATTACCAAACTTCTTTTGGTGAACATTAAAACCAAGGAAATAAATAAGTGTTTCTTATGTCTGAATTTTCAGCAATATAAATATTCTAAAAAAAAATCAATTTATAGAAAGGTGTATGGGTTTTGTACATTGAATAATAGATATGACATTTGTGACATTTGTCTCTTATTTTTACATTTGTATCCCTAACTTAATCCCCATTAAAAATAATTTAAAGAAGAAATATTTAAAAGCTGTTTGTGCTATAGGGGGAAACACTTACATGATTATTTTTTTTATATCATNTTCAGTACAAATAACAAGGTGATACGGTTCACAGTTTAAGGTGATACGGGTCAATTAAGCTGATACGGCAGGGAGGGTTTCAAACTGAAGCTGATACGGAGCCGTATCAGCTAAATGGCCTGGGGAGAACCCTGTTTTGCATTGACAACAATAATATGATGTATCTTAAAAATAACATGATTGATTCTCAACATGTTATGATTGACTCATCTTTATCTGATATAACTTAGAACAGTTTATGCATACATAGTATTGACCGTATTGATAGTATTGTGTTTTAACTATGACCTTGGATTTTATTTGTGGCTTGTGAGTGATGAAACATCTAGAGATAATGTGAGAAATATTTTCAAAACGCATCGTATCACGAAAAACATTAAAAGGACTTCATTACATTGAACTTCTCAACTGTAATGGTTGTGTCTTAAGTCTGCGCTGTACGATTCATGATGATTTCATTGGTATGTTCAATGTTTTGTATACCTTCCGTACTGTACAACTTATGACAGTAAGTGCATATTAGTAGGGAGTGTTTCACAATGACGTAATATGGCATATTTTTTCCAAAGCCTTGCTACTGTATAACATAAAATGTTCGTTGTGTATAAACATTCGTGGTTTTCGTGATTGCTATTAAACCACGAAAATAAATACAACGAATTTGAATGAAATACGTGTATACTGTTTGTTGACATCGGATATCCACGAAAGTTTGTACCACAAAACCATCTCAAATGCTTCAATCCACGGAGGAAAGTACCCTCGAACATTTTTTGTTATACGGTATTTCATACTGGCACATTTGAATATACCTGTAGCCCATTTTCTACTGGCAATGCATTGTCAAGTTAGACTATGAACATGACCAGTAAAATATACTATATAAATATATACATTTTACTACATGAACAAAACTGTTGTTTCAACGAAGTGATTGAAATAAAAACATCCGTAAGATAATTTAAGTATTGTAAGAAGGTAAATTCGAAATAATCAGTAATAGATGTTACATCCTGGCTGAAAACCTTGGAACCAATATAATTATTAATATATTAATATAATTCAATGTCTGTCGTAGTTATGCAAATGCTTCGGTTACCGTTAAGGCTAGTTTACACTCGTATACCCTTCCGTTAGCAATTACTTGTTAATTGATTATAAATATCCTAATAGAAACCAAAGCACGAAACCTATTCACTTGGTCAGGTGATCCATTAAATGCTACAAAATGTTGTTTTTGCTGCTGAGATAGCCTGCTTGATTGACCGGATCCTAACAAGGTTCGGGGCGAAATGACACGGTTTACAGTGGTTTTCCATAAGTGCATGTCTTTGATCTCATCATACTAATATAAGAAACGATGGCAGGTAAATACACTTTTCCTTCGTGTACCAACGCTTTAAGCTGTTGGCTGATGGTTGGACGAAGATCACCCTTAATCTTAAATATACGTTAGATACCGCCCTGTCATCCTATTTGTTAAATGTCTAAATATGTTATCATGCATTCAACGCATACAAGCTTGCCTCCATATGGCCATCACTCACACCGATATACACATTTGTTTACTTTGAAAATAATGTATAGATGTTATGTACGGATTTCGAATCCACCATCTTTCTTGCTTTCTCTTTGCGATATTCGTCGTTGATTTATTTGTCCAATAACCAAATGTAAAGAATAACGACGTCGATACTAAAACCATATGTACATGTGTTGTTTCGAGCCTAGATATGAATTAAGACTATTTGAGACTGTTTTGATTTATATACTGATATTTGAATAATTATATGCTATAATTATATATATATATTTACGCCATCAGCACAAACAAATTATCACGGTGTTACAAATGTGATGTGCATACAGATATATCTGTAGGAAAGGTGTCCGTTTGTCAATATGTAGCTGAATATTGAGAGGCACAAATATAAAATAAATGGAGGGGTTAAGATAAGAATGACCTGTGGAACGGTATTTTGATTTGAGAAGTGTGCATAGTGTAGTTGCTGCTCTCCTTCTGTTTCCAAGAAACGCCTAAACACGATATTTGCTGTAAGATAAGAGATCGGGCCGATGGCCAATAACAGTGACATCGGCTTTTAGAGCATGCTGTTATAATACACAACACACCCTTGGAGTTTTCCAAAAGCAGCCAGACATAGGCATTGCAGGTGAGCAAAAGGCGAAACGGATTGATTTGTACGCATCAATTCAATCATTTCCGAGAGAAAAATTGATTACGCTGTTTTGCTTTTTGTTTGTTTGTTTGTTCGTTTGTTTCTGTTGTTTTCGTGTTTTAATATTTATTTACTTTTTCTTTATTTTATCTTATATTTTATTATCATTATTATTATTTGCAAACTTGTTGTTTATCCTTTAATCCTTTAAGATTTTAATTTATTTGGATTATTTTCAGTCATTCTCATTTTGTATTGATTATGTCCTGTTGTACTGATGGCTGTTTGAGAACTGGTATGTGATATTTTTCCGCCTGAAGTAAAACCTGACGTTCATTATTGGTATATAAACAAACAAAAAACAATATATAAATAAAAAATGAAGCTGTTGTTTCCCCTTGTATTTCTATAACAAAACCGCGTTCGCCCTTCTGGAACTCTTGGTCTTATTCTCCTTACACTATTTTCGAGGTTTCCATATAAATCTCTGTTTTCTCCATATTTTCCCTTTGTTTTATCAATTTTAGTTCGAATATGGTTTTGGCACACTTTGTTATTCTCTTGAAATATAACTAAGGCTTTATATAAAATTTGATCTATGCATGATCATATTCAGCTTGCGTCTACAAATAAAATGTCGAACTAACTTCAAGACGCTCAGCTAGCATCATACCAGGAGAAAACCAACTAATCTATAACAAATCATTTATGAAATCCATTGCGACATATATTGATATGCAAACGTTATTAGCTCATCCAATTTCATGTTGGAAGACTCTGCAAGTAAACTTTTATGCGAATTCTGAATATATCAGTTATGCTTAAGATACAACGCATCTTAGCAAGATATCCTCTTACTCTGATATTGTTCCCTATGGAAATCACAATAGCTCTTACAAAACAAACAAATATAATTTTGGTTTTCATGCTTTGATCTAAAAGTAATAATTCCAAATCAGTACATTACAAAAAGTTTTGCGATTCATTTGAATAGTGAATAACGTCCAAGGGCCTGCGAATATCAAGTTAAATATTTACCTTCAAGCAGGGCTCTCAGTTGTTTCTTCACCTTCAGAAACATCAGCAGTCAACTAGCATTTTCTCTGAAATTTTGAGGGTCAAACACATGTCAAAAAGACATGTCAATTCGAACTGTTGAGTCCAAACATACTCTCAAGAGCCTAATAAAAGACATGCCTTCAATATTATGGATTGCACTTGATAAGAAATATTATGAACACACAACTGCGTTAATTATTCAGATTTGCTTTTCAACCCTAATTACGAACAGTAATGGCATGGACGCTGTGTAGTGAGAAATTATGTTAGGATTCTGTCGCCAGGGCAAAAATAAGTCATTCACCTTATAAACGTGACAAAGTCCGGTAAAGGCTCAGGATGGAACAACAGTAATGGGACTTTCACTCACCTATGAGATCAGAAAAGTCGATCAATTCATTGATGTCTTGATGTCATTATCATACCATAATCCTTATAGCCGCAGCAAGGAGGCTAAGTCAAACAGTTTGTCTGGACAGCGGTAGTGCTCACAATGCCTTCTTGGATATATTTATTACTCGTTGTTTTATTTTGCTGTGATTTTAGAGTACATGTTTCAGGTTCAGAGGATATTGTCGTTGCATCTGTGATATCAAATGGCGGGAGTCTGCCGTATGACTATAGACGGGCGGCTCCCGCTGCTGATTTGGCGATGCTAGAGATAAACTCACGTTATAATGGTTTCCTTAATTTTACATACCTCTACAGAGATCCCGGACCTGACTGTTCCGAAAACGACGTCGGGGCAATCGCTTGTGACCTTTACCATCGCTACAGCATAACGGGACTTGTGGGTCCAGGTAAGTGAGCACCTTTATCTCTACTACTGTGTGGTTTTATACTCCGACAAGATTTTCACTCTACATTGTATTGCTTCAATTTTCTTCCGTGATTTAGGAATTTCTGATTTTTGACGTTCCTTAAGAGTGGCCGTGTGGTATATAATACATTTACAAATGTATTATGTTGTTTCCTTTTTGATATCACTAATATTATCAGATGTACGTACTTTATCAACAATAAAATAGATCTTTAAACTCTATCACATAATGAGGAGACTTAAACAAGGCTATTGGAATTCACATATTTACAACGATTATTATTGTCATACCTATACATCAATATTAGATGGAATTAATAATTGTGTCAATAGACAAGAACATAATTAGAACTTAAAAAACAACAACAGAAACTATGTACAAACCAACACAATAATCGATGGGAACCTTTGAGAAACCAACACAAAAAATAACATGTATTTTGGAGGAACATAAAAAGCAACAGGAACTAGCATAAAAAAACAGAGACCATTTAGAAATCTACACAAAACTACACAAGGAACACATTTAGAAATCAACACAAAAATACACGAGGAACACATTCAGAAACCGACACAAAACTACACGAGGAACACATAGATATTAATACACACAAAAAACAACAACACAAAAAGCAACTGCAACCACAAACAATTAAAACAGAAAACAACAGGAGCCGTAGAAAAAAAAACCCACAAAAGGAACCACTTAATCAAAATCAAGATAATTATTTAACTAAACAACCTATGAAAACAGGTGTAGAATATGACACGCTAAAAACCGTAAACGTTGGAATTTAAATTATAAAATAGACTACTAGTAATCGAATAAGTTGCTTATCTGTATTGAGTGGCGATAATTGATAGACATCCGTTAGTAAAGACAGCCAATTCTTTTATCGTTATATTGCGACCATTTTTGATGACAACTGTACAATCAATAAGAGTCTCAACTTACGGTCAACCACTCGTGTTCTTCGGCAAAGCAAGATGGAATGCAGTCGATACAATTGTTGATCGTGTCCAGAAAAATAACGTTAAATATCGTTTAACGAACATTATTTAGATTCAGCTCTATCACAGACTAATCTAAATACCGGAACATCGTTGAAATTGCTTATACATACGTAACATGAACTTATCAGTTATTTGAGTTGATAATATGTTTAAAAATAAAACAAACTATGCATAACGCTATTGTATTCGTCTTTTTCGCGAGCGCAGATGTAAAGTTAGGCAGTTTACATATGATTGAAGGCAACACCTCGGCATTGCAATTTCTTACAAAAAACTATACTTGGCGAAATCAAAGTTGTTTACAGTCGTTGCTTAATTGATAAATTTGCTAGAATCACGTGGCATTTTATTGAATTGAATTAGGTAAATCCTGTTACAAGTTATATCAAACATTTCTTTCGTAAAACAATATAACAGATAATTACAGATAATTATAGTCAGCAATCTGTCTTTAGGCAATATTATGGGAATACCTCGTCAGTAGTCTGTCTGCAGGTGATCATGATGTCAGGGGGGCTCATGTCAGACGTTTGTCAGTAGACGACCTCACGTGTCACTGACGCCGCGTCAGTATTCTGCGAAAGAGACTGTCAGTTACCGATATCATGGGTACATCTCGTTAATATTTTGTTAAAAGGGGATGCTAGGGCAAGTCGACTTGGCAGTACATGTATTTCAGTAAACGATCTTACGTGTTTACAACTTGTCAGTAGTTTTGTTAGCAGGCGAAAATTCAGTCATCGATAGTATCTCAGTAGATTATGACACGATACATTCTCGTCAAGAGTCAGTAAGTGCGTAATTTATTGCAACAAGTACTTCTCATCAGCAGTCTATCAGTAAGTGGTCCCAAGGGTATCTAATTATATAAGTCGTCGGTATAATTCAGTAGGCGATAACAAGCATAATGTCACGGATAATTCTCGTCAAAAGTCAGTTATGATGTGACAGGTAATCTTGTCATAACCACTAGGTTATTAATTGCGGTGCATGGTTGAGACTGGTATTAATGCTGTTTTTGCATATTTTTATTTCGTTTTAGAACGGAATTAAAAGAAAAATAGCAAGTATTTCCCTGAAAGCAGATATAGTTAAAGAGAATTGGATTGTTTACCTCTATATAATGTCACTACTTTTATCTGCCACCTCACTTATCGCCAGGGTATTTCAACTATCCATTTCCTTTTATTTCCTTTAATAGCCCCTATGAATATCACCAGCGACGTATTGCCAAACCTTTATCATCCCACACCTTTTTGATTGCTGTATAAATACTGTTCTTCTTTTTCCAATTGTAGTTTCGAATAATCACCAGCGACGTATTGCCAAACCTTTATCATCCCACACCTTTTTAATTGCTTCTTTTTCCAATTGTAGTTTCGAATAATGTTTGTCTATTGACTGCACGTTGTACTTTCTAGCATGCAGTCACGCTGTAAACGTTATTGGCAGGATGGCGTCCTCTTGGAATCTGCCCATCATTACACCAGTAGGTACAAGTGGAACTTTAGGGGATAAGTCCAACTTCCCCACGCTAACAAGACTGGCTTACAATATGAACAAGTTCGCCAAGTTCTACCTACAGGTATTCGGCCAGTTTAATTGGACTGACGTCACCATCATGTACGACAAAGTGCACGTGTTTTTCAGGATAGTTGGAACTAGTCTTGGGAATGAATTCCCTTCTGCCGGTATTTCCAGTAAGGTGATGGAGTTTGATACAAATGGTGATTTTGATCACAAAAACATGTTGCTGACTGCAAGCGAACGATCAAGAGGTAGGATACACTTAAGCTATCAGTAACGTTACACCAAGGGTAAAGTATCAAAGATTGCTATAGCAATTGTAGAAAATGGGCAATCTTTTTTTAGAACATTGACTGGATTGTGAGAATACCGGATAAGTGATGACTGGATTAATTTGTCTAACTTGTAGATATATATACATTTAATTGTAATAACACACTTTCAAGTATGGAAATGAGAATGCTCATGACGAAGCTGATTATCTGGATGTCTAGCACAAACAAAATGTAGTATTTACATTTGTCTCGTTCACGATTTTGTAGTATTTGATACCGTTTGAATGGTCGCAATAATTTCAACAAATTGGCGAAAAAGCACATTTACAGATTTGATATAAAATGTCTCCAATCGTCAATTTCAGTCTTTGTTATCAGTTGTCATGGTGACACCTTCCGTGACATCATGCTGACTTTCTACGACCTTGGCATGGCACTTGGCGATTACGCAGTCATCTTTATCCGCCTATTTGTGGGAGACGACGTTGGTAATATGTCTTGGATGAGAAATGACGCCAACGATGCTGTAAGTGGTCATGATGCAACATATTTTTCTCTTACTTACCGACAGGCAAAATGTTAAATATAACACATGGTGTAGAAATACTGGTTTTTACATTCGACGATTACGGCGCGTTATTTGAATTAATAACACCCTGTTATCAACGGTAAAATATCATTATCTGTCTTAACAGTATTATTTCATTCAAAATTTAATCACGTGTGAATAATATGTAACCAATATATAGATCACTAGAAAATACTTTAAGTAGAAGACAGCAGTATAATGCTTAGAAAAAATATGTGCCTGTACCATGTTATGTTCACTTCGCATTACTGAGAGCTAATTAGGAGTTTTTAGTGTTGTTGATATATCAACAAGCTTCGAAAAGGTTTAAGATGAATGTTTCTCCGAATCGTTTAATAATATAAGGTATCCTGATACAGTTTCGAATAAATAGGTTGGGCATCAGTATAAAAATCAAAAACAGGAAATTTTACGATTTTGTATAGCACTCACAGAATAGGTATCCAACCAAAAAGACAGGCGGTACGTAAAGACTGTTATACAGATCTTCATTCAAATCTCCATACTATCCGTAAAAGATCGATGTTACGTACGATACATCTTATCCACAAACCTGTTATAAAATACAGATTTTGAAAATGGTTTTCAAAAACCTCAGGAGAACATCGTAACGCCAGTTATTTAAAACAAAGTATACTTCTTTTCACTTTTTTTCTCATTGTGTACACCTTACGTATTTGTTAAAACTTGAGCTCATTTATAGCTTAAACCGTTACCTATATAGCAAAATCATATACATATATGCAGTTAAGGATTGTTGCATTAGGGTCGAAGTATTCCGAGTGAATTGAACATAATACCTCGTGTTCTGTTAACAATGATACCTGAGTTTTTTATTTCATAAGTCTGGTTTTAGACTGTCTGTCTTTCTTTCTCTTCCCCTGTCATTGATAGGCTGTGATTTTTTCCGAACTATAACTTAAAAAAAAAACTAGTTGTTTTTATCAGTTTATAGTTTTTGATGCATTGAAAATTATTTCTGTAGAAATATCAATAGTATTGTAGTCGTTTGGTATTGAAGTTTCGGATTAATATTAATTGTGAACACATTTTAACATACACCCCTCCTTCATGGAATGTACATGTTCAGTTATCATCTGATATATCCAGATTGTAAGGACCGAACGGATGCAAGATCACCAAAAACGAATATGACTGCATTTTAACTCAAATCACATCCTGATGCATCAGTAATTGTTGCCCCCCCCCCCCCCCCCCTCTTTTTTTTACTTTTAAACACAAGACGAGGAAGGAACATTTTTCAACATCAAACTTCCTACAAGAAAATTGTTAAGATGAAAAGTACTGCAATTGCAATCGGGAATATATGTGACTATTTCTAGCAAGTCTGATTTTGTATTGATGTTAAGCCGAATTCATACAACGGCTATGACAAAATGTAGAGACGATACTTGTCCCGACCTTTCACGTTCAAACAATATGTTGATTTCTTGCTCTCCTGATTAACATGCTTCAATAGCTGCTTGCATCTTCTTTATACCACACGGCTTGAAATTATAATAAAGATCACCACACCAGCAACCTCACCTTACTGTTGTTTGTTTATTCTTTGGAATATGTTCTAAATATCATGGTTTTCTGGATATGAATGTCCGGTTAACCAATACGCTACTTAGCCAGGGTTTCCTTATCATATAGACTACTCTGTGTGAGTTGAAGAAAATTAACGTTCGTCAGATGAAGAATTCGGCGTGAAAAATAATAATACGTTACTACCAAACGTAACTTAACTTGGTTATGGAATGCTTTATTCGGAAAAAAACGCTATTTAAACATCCATTAAAAACCTGTTCGCCAATGTGACTACTTTAATATAACTGGTGGTTTTTTTACAATTTTCAGAAAGCTCGAAAAGCGTATGATAGTGTGTTGCTGGTTCAACCAAGACGACCAGAAAGTCCCGAGTTTCTGCAATTTGAGCAGGATGTGAAAAACAGGTCTTTACAAGATTACAACTTTATTTACGGCGATATTGAGGTAACGTTATACATAACAAGCTAACTGAAAAACAAATTTTAATGTTTGCTATTTCAACGTCTAAAACTATCAGCTTTAATATAATTTCATTTTTTTTAAATTTTACAACAATTTTGAAACAAGTTATTTCAACATCAATGTGGGAGGAAAACGGAGTACACGGAGAAACGCAAGTGGTCGGACAGGTGGCCCAATATCTTTTCACGAGCGATCAGCTGATTTCAATTATGGATGCATTATTCGCCAAAATCTTAATCCTGGATGGACTGCTTCCTGTTTACATAAAAAAACATCCAGTGATATACCAATGTTGAAATAGGTTCTTTAAGTGATACATCGCCTGAATGGGTTTATGGTCTTCCTGCCTGGTACTAGATATTAGCCTTTTCCCCCTGTCATCGACCACGAATGGATGGATTCGTGGTCGGTTTTTTATACGGACATAAACTATCCCTATCTGATGAAGCTAGCCACTCCATTGATTCTAGTCATAATGCCCCGGCTATGGTTATAGCTTAATTAGAATCATTAACGTATAGTGGAGTGTAGGTCAGCGAATCCCCGGTTAGTTTGTTACAGGAAAGTCCACTCAATGGCCGTACTAACGTAAACTTAGAGGTTGTTCGCGCGGTCGACTGCTTCCATGTTTAGATTACGATCTCTATTATGTTTTAAACAACTTTATTTTATAGCGACATCTTGTCAGTACTTGATAAATAAATGCCGCTGTGTCACGAACATTGTAAGTGTTATGTTCGATGCGTTAATCTGATCTTTACATTATGCTCTAAGGAGGCATGCTTTATAACTTCCTAATTCGTGTGTAAGTAGACTGGATACAAACCCCTAAGTTTTTATGAAGAATTTCTCGGCTGCATTTTACTACTAGCTTATCTCCCCCTAGTTTAGAACTTAGGATCAGACATCCAAGTGATACAAAAAAATGAGTTAATTTTTATTCTTAATAATTCAATATTCTAGAGACGGGGCCAGTCTCGCGTGTAAGGTATAATGTTGCAAACATACATCGGCAAAATCAAGAACGGTATGCTCTCAAACATGGAAGCCATGCTTAGTCCACATGTACCTACATGTATATATGTAACTATATGATTGTATAGTACGTAACTGTATACATGTGTAACGTAGTCGGATTTTAGGGGAGGGTCTTGGCGTAATAACGACCGGCACAAGATTCTCTTCATAGATGTGTTTAATGATGAGAACATAGACAAAAGTCCCTACAACAAATAAATAGCTATATTCAATACACAGTACCGAAACTAACGCGCCCAACTATACAACAATAGCGCGTACTTTAAAATAACTCATCGAATACATTTACATAGATTCGATCACATTTATATATAACTGACAAAGTACAAATAGACCACAGGAAATATCACGACGAACATTAACTATCAATCAGTTACAATTATAAGTAAAATTACCGATCGCATCTTAATGTAATGATAACAAATAAATAAATAACAATGTTAAACNGGCTGTATCTTCACTATGACCCTCCTCCTGTCCTCCCAGTGGATCAACGTCTTCCCTATTGTCCCGTTCAATATGGGAGGCCGCATCCTCTTCAGCAGGGACCATTGTCGACTCATGGTCGTTTACAGGCTGCGCAGTTGTTGTATCCATGGCACCTGCCTGGGTGTCACCAACAGCTGGCGTAGGAGGCATTGACACGAGGAGCTCCATATCACTGTCATCGGAGTCAATAATGGCAGAAACTTCCATTTCGTCCACAGGTTTGGCCTGTGACTCTCTCCGTAGCTCCTTCTTCCTCTCTCGTGTCAATCTCGGTGCTGGGGTTGGGGATTTCCGTGGTTGTGGTGTAGGGGTATCATCTGTCCTAGCATCAATATCTGTCGTCAAAGAACCGATGGGAAGGAGAAGATTTCTGTGTAAAGTGCGTTTTCTCCCTCGACCATCCTCCTTCTGTACAACATACACTGGCATGTCCAAATTGGGCTGGTCCAACACTACATAAATGTCTTCCTCCCACTTATCTGCAAGCTTATGTTTCCCGTCGAAAGCAACTGCCTTGACCAAGACACGATCTCCTGTGCGGACACAGGCGCCACGAACCCGTATATCGTATCCTGACTTCTGTCTGGATTTGGCAGTGCTACTCTTGGTAAGGGCAATAGCATAAGATTCCTTCAGACGTCTTCTCAGTGACTCCACATAGCTGGACAAAGACTCCTTTGAAGCATCTGACTTCAAACCAAAGGCGAGATCTACAGGTAGTCGTGGCTCCCTTCCATACATGAGATAGAATGGTGAATATCCTGTAGACTTGTTCCTGGTCGCATTATATGCATGGACTAGGGGTGCGACGTAGGATTTCCATTCCCGCTTCTCCTCCTCAATAAAGGGTTCCGAGCATGCTCAATTGTGTGCGGTTGAAGCGCTCGCATTGTCCATTTCTCTGCGGATGATATGGGGTAGTCTGGGACTGTGAAATGCCTGTCATGCGACATAACTGTTTCACCAGCTTGCTTCTGAATGTCATTCCCTGGTCTGAGTGCAAGCGCTTAGCAGGGTGCCACACATGTATCTAGTACCAATGCAATCGAGACATATGACACTTAAATAATGAATATTGACTGTACCTTAATTTTGTTTCCAATATTAATCTCTCAGTCTAAAGCATGTTAAAGTTTACATAACATGAACGTGTACTATAACGTCCACGTTCCCAATGACGTTTTCGAGTGAACAAATCTAATATTCATATAGGGAAAAGGACACGGTTTTCCGAAAATAACTTTAACCATATAATCTGTGAAACAAATACTGAATTCCATTTAGCGGATCGGCTTGTTCATGGTAGCAGTATACAGTAGAAATGGCCCGACTCTGATAAACGAGGCACATGTCGAGGAAATGTAAATACAGCGGATTTACCCTACACAACACATGTATACATGTATATATATTTGTAAACTGCATTACATTTACAATACATATAAAGTACTGAGAAGTGTATAAACCTCTTTTTTCTATGTATGTCACTTGTGTGAAAACCATGGTTACCACATCAAAAATTACCAAAAAATGCCAAAAATTGCTATTTTTAACCCAAAATTTGACCCCCGCAACTAGTAATTTTTTTCCTAAGCTCTGTCTGAAATTAAAGATTACCTACCTGGTTGCAGAATTATCTGGGTCCCAGTAAAGTTGTAAAACTTGATTTTTTGCAATTTTGCGTCGTGTGCTGTTGTCAAAATTTTACCTCCTGTAAAGCTAGCTTTTCGTGTGTAGGCACCCTTTCGGATTACGGCCAAACATTTTAATTCGAACCAAAAAAATCTTCTTTTTTTTTTACAAATGTGAAGCTCACATAGCCCACTTCATCATGCTTTTACCAATTTTAGTACAGTTTTATTTTTATTTATTTTTTTACATATCATTATACCGCCGTCCAACTGGAACATTCTGCTAAACAAAACACGCTATATAATATACATGTATATATGTGATACCGTTGCTGTTGTTATTAGTAACAAACACTCACCTTTTGCTCTGTAGATCAAATGCCTTTCCTTTTTAATTTATAATCAAAGGTGAATATCTTCATCACGGCTTTCTACGATTCCTTTCTCATCTATGCTCAAATTCTGAACGAAACTCTCACTGACGGGGGTGACATTCTTGACGGGTTCAACCTGACAAGACGGATTTGGGGACGGACCTTTCAAGGTATAAAAAAGAACCAATTAAATTGGCTTGCATGCCTAAAAATTAAACGTAAGTTGGTCGATAACCATATCAATAACATTTCATCACTTGATAAATAGCGTGGTGTATATACATGTAGTCGGAAAACTCATTTACGTTAATGTTAGATTTTACAAAAAGGCACGTAGAATTTGGATAAAAGATTTTATTATATCTTTAAGAAATATCTATTCTTATAATATTTCAAAATAAACGCTCTCAACTTACCTTATAGTTGTTATACCAAGTAGCTTTTGGTATTTTAAATGATTGTTATATGAAGTATGTATAAAGGTTTATAATATGTCATGGTTTCTTCTGAAATGCTGTAGGAATCGGAGGTACCATAGCCATTGACCACAACGGTGACAGGGATACAGATTTCTCCCTGTTAGACATGGATACCTCCACTGGAGATTTCAAGGTTAACCCTCACCTGTGCTTCTCATTCCTAACCAATAAGATCATCTATACAGGCTTTTGAGATAATATGGACATGTTAAAACTATTCTTGTGTTAAATCGTCTGTAATGATACTTGTGTATTTTTAAAACATATTTTAGCGTATCGGTTACTCCAGCAAATAGCCCTGAATACGTAAAGTAGGGTCTTGTGTAACCATTATGTACATGTTCGCAGATTTAGTTATGTTCTTCATTCTTACAAATAATCTTTAAATATTTTAGTTTATGGTTGTTTAAATTCTTTTCTTGCAGGTTGTGGGCAATTACTTTGGAGAACTGAAGAAATTCAAGTTTGTCGATGGTGTATCCATATACTGGCCACAGGGGAGGGGTCCGCCTGTCAACAAACCTCGCTGTGGCTTTACAGGCGATGCGCCAGAATGCCAAACCTTTGGTGGGTTAGACTGAATATATTATCACTGCTTATTGTCACGTTTATAAAAAAAAAATAGCAAACAAACATGTGAACTAATACATAATGTTCTAATGTTCTATTCATTTTATTGCCAATTCTAGGAGCATTACACGATTATGATTTCATTAGAAATAAATCTATGTATATAAATCAAATCTATTTTTTTCTGTCGGTTGCATGTTGTCTTTTTCATCTTAATTTTGTCAATTTCATAATCATACAAACAGTATAACAAAATAATGTTTTGTTTGGCTGGTTTTCAATATTGATGTATGAACTAGGTCAGTTAATTGAACGAAAATTGCTATACACGATCAAAGAAAGCAAAACGAAAAATGAATTGAACATTTTAAAAACTCTTGCGAAACATTGCATGTTTATTTCTTCTCACATCAAACCATCGTTACGTTTTGAAATTACAAAAGTCGCTTACTTACAAATTACATTTATTCACGTTTATTGTTTTATAGATAGTCGCATACTTTTGCTAACTGCATAAACGACATTTTATATATTTATCAAAACAAGCTACTCATTTCAGGGATATCATGACACCCCAAAATAAATCAAGATTTGTATCTTACAGAATTATCTGCTGTTGCGATAGCCGGAATTGCGTTTACCTGTGTGATTGTCGTGCTTGCCCTGATTGCCGCTTTAACATATAGGTACGAATACCATGGAACATTGATCATAATTGTTTTAAGCAAATGTACTATAAAATGTGAAGAAAATGTGTTACATGATGTATTAAAATCAACCACGCCTTATGTAATAAATAATGGTCTTCGTTCTATTTCGATTTGATTAATCTCATTGTCATACAAGAAAAGAGAAGTTTATTTCATCAGCGAATACTTTAATTCGTGGTACTGTGAACAAACTGCATACAATCGTTTCGTTCAAAAGATGAAACCCAATACAGGTAAAGGGTACGTCCGATTGGTGATTACGCTCTCGGAATAAATCGACACCAAGGCAAGTACAGGCCTAAACTCGTACTTAGATAAAAAAAAAAAAAATACGGTCATGTTGTCCATAACTAAAATACACCTCATTACTACCACTTTGACAATGAAATACAAAACGCGTAGACGAAATGATATTCAGCTTAAGCTACATCTTTCCATTTCTATTCCTGTTTGTTTTCTCTTTTTAGGAAATTGAAACTCGAATCCGACCTCCACAGTTTATGGTGGAAGATAAAGTCGACTGATTTGCTCTCAGGGAATGCTGGAAGCCGTGTCATTAGCAGGCTATCACTTGTTCAGGTACATTAGCGACAGGCTGCAAGGCCAAGACTGTCCCTTCACGTCATCCCGGTTGTTTACATATCTCACTTGCCAAGTATTATCGGTTGTTCTGGCATCCTTTTGCGGTTGCTATCTACTCTCTGTCGCGAAGCAATCGTTGCTTTGATTGGTCAACAGAGACAATTACAGTGTGCTGCACGTGACAATAACAACTGCAAAAACAAATCGCGAGGGCGTTTCAATAATATGGGTCCCCCTGATTTTCGGTATATAGAATTATTAACATGCATTTTCTCATCGTATGACAATTAAAACGAGTACATTCATCAAGAGCATCCGAACAGTGTGGCATAATAAATCAATCTCATTGCATTTGGAAGATTTTAAAGGCCCACCTTGACGGGTTGTAAGCTTACCAGCGGCACATGGTTTCTTGGTGAAGGATAGTAAGGTCTACTTTCAAATCAAGGGTTCTAAAATTGAACCTTGCCATGGCGCGTACAAGCAATGAATAATAAAACGTTTTATCTTATCGTTCATCAAATGAGTCGCATAATGCACAGTTGTTCTACTAATGCAGCTGCAATTTATTGGAAAATTAAGTCTTTTACTTTTTTAATTCTAGCACATATCTTCCTTTTTAATTATCAAAAGTTAAGAACTCCTTTTTATACCCCCGCAACGAAGTTAGGGGGGAGAGTATACTGGAATCACCCTGTTTGGATGTCTGTCTGTCGTTCGCAGTAACTTGTCCTNATACTGGAATCACCCTGTTTGGATGTCTGTCTGTCGTTCGCAGTAAATTGTCCGGAAAACTCCTCCTTAATTAACAGGTGAATTTCATTGAAACTTTGCATGAATGATCGGTATTTTATGTTGTTGCGCACTGGCATTTTAGTTGGGATTTCGACCCTTTTTGATGGAGTTATGCCCCTTTGTGCGAAATACAATATATATATAAAAAAAAAAAAATGTGTGATAGTGATCACCATAACTCATTACTGGTGGGAGACTATATTTCTTTGCATAAATAAGCCTTTAGCGCACAGTTCTGGTTTTTATAGGAGCGGGGGTATTAGTTAGCCTTTGGCTTACAGTTCAAGTTTAAACTAGAAAAATGATAAAACTGTATATTGTGAAAAGGTGAAATATTGTGGAAAATCAGCGGACACCCGTCTATAGGTTAAAATATTATTAAGCGTACAGTATATGAAACAATTCAAGCAAAAACTCGTGGAGAACCTGCATATAGTAAACTCTTTTCCTTTGAAAACGGTATCTGGAGCAATAACACACTAAAGCCGACGTATTTATTTTCAGTGTAGTTTTTATTTAATGTTTTAGTAAATGAATGTTTCTAATATATGATATGTCATAAAGATCTGAATTATAAGATTTCCAATTTTCAGTCGCTGGGTGGTGAAAGTAAATCGAAAGAAGACACAGCACAGATGTTTACCACTACAGCTATTTATAAAGTAAATGATCATCTCTTTAGTGTTCTTGAATTGATTTATTGTTTTGTAAATTTCGTTAGCAGTACACATATCCTTACAACATGTGTATCGATTAAGTTTAACCTTCAAAATGTATACACAGTGTCATCACGTATAATATACTGTCCAGATAATGATTGCAGGAATTATATGTTTCTGTTATTCTATTATTCTAATGGCACTTATTTAGGGATAGAAATAGCTAAAATATATTCGCATAATAAAAAATACTGGCTTTGTTCTAAACTCCGCAATATTAACGTTCACTATTCCTTAGTGTTCCTTCTATGCACATATATGAAACATTTGCAGAGTAGACAATCGTGTTTATGCTTAATAATATTTCTTAGACTGTGTTTCTAGCAGCACTAATACAAAATTATATTTGGCTCATTACAGTATTTTGAATTGATGCAACTGCATTCTAGTTTTATTTTGTAATCATTAGTTTCATAGTTGCATTTGCTACTTTCATATGATTTCCTTTATTCTGAAGGGTGCCACTGTTGCCATCAAAAAGTTCAAAATAAAGCAGTTCAATGTTGATCGAGTAAGCCTTATGGAAATGAAACAGGTACGTGTTTAAGATAGATGTTATATTAGTACGTAAACAAGACAAAATTGTGTGTGCAGTTTGCTACAGCTGAAATGCAAACTACACGGGTGTTGGTATTTGCAGAAACATTAATCGTCACATATTAGAAGAAAAAAATATCGAGCTTAAAAATATGTATTAATCTTTATACTTACAAACATAATGTACGGATTGAAAATCAGTAGATTAAAAACAAAAATGTACGGATCTTCTGAGTAGAAATGAGCGAAAATGTTAACTTGTCTCACTTTAACGTCCCCTTATATTGTTCATTACAGATGAGGGATATTGCCTGTCCTAACCTAACACGATTGGTTGGCTTGGCTATAGAGCCTTCTCACGTGACCCTCGTGACAGAGTACTGCCCTCGTGGTAGTCTCCAGGTTAGTAAATCTCCTCCGAGTAACTAACATACAGTGATAGAAGTTCAATAAAACTGTTAATATTGATATTTGAGATTCTATATCTATGGTACGTTATTTTCATGAATTGATAATATATAATGTTTAAATCGTTCGACCATTTGATGTCTTTTTTACCTGCTCGTCATTCACAAATATTTACTCATGTAAAGTTATATTCTCTTAATATTTTAGGATATTTTAGAGAATGACTCCATACAACTAGACATAGACTTCAAGAATGCCCTTCTCACCGACCTTGTACAAGTAAGACACTTAAATATTGACTTACTATTGTATATCGAGGACAAACGAAATCATAACAAGATAAGTAAATATGGTGTAATATATACCGCTCCTAAAAGCACATCTACAAGCATTATAATATCGCGTTAATGGTTATACTACAATTTTTATAGCATTTGCAATCGAAAATTGTAAGCAAAGTTTACATAACAGCAAACATGGTATCAATTTTAATATGCAATTGTCCTTAATAGAAAACTCTTTGTCATGATCACTTAGTGTCAAGATGACCGTGACGTCTATCTAATAGTGCTAATAGTATCCCTATTTTGGTTTATGTCCTGCCAATATGATTTTTCGACTTGATATTGATATCCGGCACTATGACAACCGCTTCATATTAGTTTTCATTTTATATTCTAACAAGGGCATGGCCTATCTTCATGCTTCCCCAATCGAGGTACATGGTAATCTCAACAGCTCCAATTGTGTGATAGATGGACGGTTTGTTCTCAAGATCACAGACTTCGGCCTGACACGCATACGTCGACTCGAGCATAAACCCATAGACAATCATCAACTCAGAGGTATTCAGTATAAACAATCTTCAGTGTGCAGCTTAAGGATCCCTGACCCAAAGCAGGCAAAACGCTAATTTCACTCTAGTATTTGTTCTTAGTTTGACTGATTAACATTTAACTTCGGTTGGGATACGACTCTGGCAGGAATAGGCCACAGGAATAACGGATAATCACGCAACTAGGACTAGGGTTTGAAGCCCAGTCTGGTCCCATTGACTTTTCCCCCCTCTGTTAAATCACACAGACCTCTGTTGTTTCAACTGTGAAAAGTTCCAAAATGTGTTGGGGTTTTGTTTTGGAAGCATTTTTAAATAAATGCTAAGGGTCTTTTTTAACACAAGCAATACTTGAAAACTTATTGGCAAGTTCCTAATTACTCTTTTGGTTCAAATATTACTCGTACCAAACTGATAAATCCCAGTCCAAAAGCTTAATGTAAAGTTAACTTTTAGCCCTATTACAGGGAACCTTAAAACAGTTTGTGCAATAAGTGGTTTTCTAAAATTTTCAATGAGTTTGAATAAGAAATGGAGTAGGCATTATCATTACACCTGTGCTATCATGTTTGTAGTACACACTGTATGAAGCAATACTGTTACAGCACAGATTTGGGTAGCCCCAGAACAGCTTAGACTATTTCCCAACAGAACGGCTTCCCATAGCGGAGATGTTTACAGCTTTGGAATCATTCTATTTGAAATATTAACCAGACTTGAACCTTACGAAGATGAATTGGAACACATCACAATAGCAGGTAGGTGATTTCGATATCATTTGACAATAACGTTATAATTAAGAACAAACATTTGCTATATATATTTGCTATTTTTGCAGTCATGGATACCTTTTCTCGAAATAGCAATTTGTGTTAGTTCACGATTTTCGTTTTAGATGTACTTCACAAGATCAAACGTGGCCTTGACCCTCCATTCCGGCCCATATTGCCACAGACAAGTGAAAAGAGCGACCTGGTGAACGTGATGAAAGAGTGTTGGAACGAAGATCCAAAACTTCGACCTAGTTTTCATACACTGATACGCACAATTCGGAAAATTTCTGGGTTTGTAAAAAAATCTTTTTGAAGTTGGATTTGCATCATTTTTATTTCAATCACAAGTTCTTTAAATATAAATTTTATATATATTTCACAGCAAATAAACTCTCCAATAGGTTTTGTTCTAAGTGTTAATATTGTGAAAAAACTGGATCATTCCCACCTTTATCACTTCTGTATCAGGTTAATAAATGTCTAAATACCAGTATTTACATGTGATTAACTTCATTTCCAATAAATCGGTAATACGGTGGGTCTTTTTCTGCTGGCGCGTTTCCCTGTATGCGTCTTGTCATTATCTATCAGAGTAACAGCGGGTCATAACATCCTGGACTCCTTACTTAAGAGGATGGAGCAGTACGCAAACAACCTGGAGGACCTGGTAGAGGAAAGGACTCGAGCCTTCTTGGACGAGAAGCGGAAGTCGGAAGAATTGCTTTATGAGGTCTTGCCAAGGTACTTGTGTATATAATACGTATTTGAAATCATATTACATAAAACAGACTCTTGATCATATATACATTATCTAATCGACCGTTTAATATCGACATACATATAACTTGATCATTTCCGTAATCCTTTTCCGCATACCTTATAATAGAGAAAAAGAATATAAAGTGACAGTAAACTTAGAATGATTCTTTCTACTTAACAGAAGTGTAGCCGACCAGCTTAAGAATGGACTGAGTGTAGACCCGGAGTCCTTCGAGTCAGTAACCATATATTTCAGCGATATTGTGGGTTTTACCAACATTTCTGCCTCTAGTTTGCCAATGCAGGTAAAACAACAAAAAAACATGTGTAAGGTATCCTTTCCGCCACAGGTTTATTCTATATTTACTAAAATACAACGAATTTGCCTTTGAATATGTGAACACAAAAAATACAAACAATTGAAACTGTAAATAAATATCTGCTTCTATAATGAAATATATAACGAGTCTTAGAGCCGACGGTATTTATCAATCAGATTCTGATAGTGCAAGTAACTCTCCATCAATTACTGCTATAAACATACCTTAAAGGTGTCTTAAACCAATACTTAAAATAACAGAATTTTATTGCTATCACTATATTCTTTTCTTGCATGAATTTATCTCTGGATGCATTCGTGATCTTGTATTTATGTAAGAGTACCATTTACTTTCTTTCTACAGGTTGTGGACCTCCTCAACGACTTGTACACATGCTTTGATAGCATTTTAGAAAATTATGACGTGTATAAAGTAGGTACCATAAGCGCAAGGAAACAATAGGTCAAATAGTGTACATGTAAAAAACCAACAAGGGACGATGTGTAATATCTTAAAAGCTATATACAATCAATATTCTCCAGAACCGTATGCCAACAATGTGTTGGTTATCAAATAAGAATTCCAATACAGGGTGACCTTCAATAGTTATCGATGTCTGGTCATCCGTTCAAACTTTTGCCCGTTACATGTCTACATTCATCCTTAGTCTAAATTTTAAGCTCGTCCCAAGAGTTAGGCTACATCGAGTGGATACAATTTATTGTTGCCTCATGTGTAGACGTCGTTGCTTTTTGCAATCTTAATTCATATAATTATCAGCATATGTGGCTTAACAGTAGCGAAAAGTGTGTCGGAAAAGGAATAACATTTCCTGATCTCTTACAATGTCGCTTTCTCTCATAAAATGACAGGTCTTGGAATCGTTATATCTTGTATTAGTAGCAGTAGCTCAAATCAGAAACTTCCTAGTTTTTTGGGTGTGTTTTTGGTCTATTATCACTGATTCCGAGGTGTGTGCGTACCCTCAAATTTTAAATTATGTTTAGGTGGAGACTATCGGAGATGCATATATGGTGGTATCCGGACTTCCCGTCCGAAACGGGTCGGAACACGTTCGTCAGATTGCACGTATGTCGCTCGGTATTCTGGAAAACGTGTCCAAGTTCAAAATAAGACACAAACCTGACGCCATACTCAGGGCAAGGATCGGCATTCACTCTGGTAACAAGACAATGACGTTTATTCTGATAGTATGTAACTGTACTGTATGTGTTGTTAACAATATTTCAGTGCAATTTTGTAATTGTTAACTTCTAAGTTAAGTCTATTGTGTGTGATCATTAAAAACATTTTTTTTATTTAGACCACCAAAAGTAGTTCTTTCAAACTCTCTTGGTGTATTGTCCAACGTCGAAATTTATTAAAACGAACAAGACAAAATCATATACAATTCGGAAACACTTGACTACAAACGAAGTTTATATGATAGCTATTGCGTAATTTATCGCAGACTTAATTCCAGTCTATCGTTCAACTTGTGTTCATAGGCTCTGTTTGCGCTGGGGTCGTGGGGAGAAAGATGCCTCGCTACTGTTTATTTGGCGATACTGTCAACACAGCATCCAGAATGGAGTCAAATGGCGAGGGTAAGAAAAACTACCATGACACATGTGTTGAATCTTTTAAGCAAGAGGCCCATGGGCCTTAACGGTCACCTGAGTCCTACAGTATTATTTTTTGTTGTTTAAATATTAAGTGGAGATAATGATGTCAATCATCCCTACCAAAATTTGATTATAAAAGAGTTAAGTATAACTTTAAAGTTAAGTTTGTCAGGACAATGAGTTGGTCATTCCGAGACCGAGTTTCAGTTAATACGGCCTATTAGAACTTGATTTTTAAGTTTTAAATAGTTTTTTTCCAAAAGGGCAGCCACGGCGGCCATATTGGATTTCTGATCGACCCGAAAAATAACAACACTTTAATTTGTCAGGACCACGAGTTGGTCATTCCTACCAAGTTTCAGTGAAATCGGCACAGAAGAACTTGACTTTAAGTTTGAAATAAAAAAATAAAAAAAATGGCGGCCGTGACGGCCACATTTGATTTCTGATCGACTCGAAAAATTACAACACTTTGTCAGGACCATGAGTTGATCATTCCTACCAAGTTTCAGTTAAATCAGCCCAGTAGAACTTGACTTTAAGTTTGAAATAGTTTTTCAAAATGGCGGTCTTGGCGGCCATATTGGATTTCTGATCGACCCGAAAGATAACAATACTTGGTCAGGGAGTTGTCAGTAAGTACATTCCCATGAAGTATCAATGAAATCCCTATAACAGTATTTCAGCTTAAGTTGAAAATGTAAAATGTTAACGGACGACGGACGAAGCAGATAGCGATAGGTCACTTTAGCTCAGGTGATCTAAAAAGACAGGTATGAAAAGTCACTTACAGCAACATCTTCAACAATGAAAAAAATATGCCTTTAATGTTGAAGCAGCAAATTTAATTGTGTTGTTTTTTTATTTATTTACCAGTATTCCAATCTTGGTTTATTCTTTTTTTCATGGGGCATTAATATATTGTTTCATCTATGAATACTTTGATACATAAAAGAAATAAATGATAATTCGTTATTTTTTTTTTTCAATTCTTTGAAAACAATTGTCAAAAATTGCTTGCATTTTCATTGCAACGACTGGTCTGATTTATAACGTATATCAGACAATTGTTTACTCATTTGCTTGTTTTAAGCTCATTTTTCTTAAAACAGTATCCCTAATCCTATATTTGCAGCGATGAAGATCCATATGAGTAGAGATACGAAAGATATGTTGGATATTTTTGGCAACTTTCTGATAGAATCGAGAGGTGAAATCAGCGTCAAGGTAAATAAAAACAGTCATGAAATTCATCACTAGCATCCGTTACAATAACCAACAAAGCATACCACAGATAACAAAGTTAATCTGGAAATAATTGAAACAATAGAATTTTCAATTTTTTTTTTTTTTCCTAACCAATTTTCATTCCGAATAAATTATAACCCGCTTTCTTAATATTCAAAATTCCTATTAAAAACATTTGTCTACATAATGTACATTGTGTGTATGTTAATGTTAATGTCGTGTCTATTTCAGGGTAAAGGAACTATGATCACCTACTGGCTTCTCGGGGAAGAAATCAGAGAGGCGTGACCAGAAATTAAAGTCTCAAATGTAAACAAGAAATGATGATGACCAGAAAATGTTATGTTTAAAACATTTTGGTGGATATATTTTAAATATAAAAGCAAGAATTGCATTGCCTGTTTATACATTGTAGCGATTCATAGGTATAAGTTCGTGTATATTAAGACAATCTGGAGTCTGTTAGGTCAGTTTAAATCAGCATAGATTGCAAAGTCTTGCCAAATCTCCATATTTGTGAGAGGAGACTCGATCCTTCTTTCACACTTAACAGTGGCATTAAAGTGGTTTATTTTCAAATGACAGATAAACCTGTCGTAAGAAAAGACAGCTCACACACGCAATCATTCTGAAAATGTCACCATAGCGTCATCACTTTATGCATGTAATCAGAGTTGCATCTTAAATTGATATTTCTTACACGTTACAACTTATTTTTACAGAAGGAATATAAATAAAGAATTTCAGTGTCGGGTAGACAAAGAAATCTCAACACTCCGGATTAGACAAACAAGTCTCAACACTCCGGATGAGATTTTTCAAGTTTCTTAAACGACAAAGCCTCGGGCAAAACTTCGAAAATCTTACCAACAGGTTGAGATTTCACTGTCTTTGTTCTAACACAAGAGGTCTACCTTTTCGACTTTTCTAATCAGCAGAATTCTTTATGGCTTGCTTTTTTTACTTAAATTTAGTTTGTTGCACAGAAAAATCAAACTTCAAAGCTTTCCTAAGCAGTCCCTTCCTGTTTGTTAAACATGAATCGAGTATCACCCTGTATAACAATAAGACAAAGAAATCTTATTTTTTCAAAATTTATTTTTTGACAGTTTAACATGATTGTATTTATATATGTATCTTTTCGACTTGCTTTCTCTCAAAAATCGATTGTTTATAGGCACCAAGTTGTATAGACTGTCCTTACCATTTCATTATAACAATGCGTTCATCATAAATTACGTATCTGATTCAATAATAAACACATTCAACTTGTACATCACAAAAATCCCGTTATACCATTATTTGTTAAGATTTACCAAAGCTCTTGTAACATCTTTTCTTTCATGGACAAATTTGCCAAATACCTCATAAATGTTTTGAATAGCACACATTAACAATATCGTTATCTTTAACTAACAGTTCCCTCACATGAATGAAACGATCCATGCATAGTGGAATCGCGAATACAACGACCAATACAAAAATAATGTAAATAGTTTTACATTTTTCAAGTGAAACATGTCTAAATTAAATTTCCATTATTTGAATATACAGTATATCAGAGATCGTTTGTTTCCTTGGGGTAGAATTTGAATTTTCTTCCACAGTTAATAAATACCAGATATGAACTCATCTACCTCTATTGCACTAAACTCGTTGAAAATATCCTAAAGCACCAGATTTTTATCAGTCAAGGTTCAAGTTGTCTTGACATAAAAGTGCCTCCACAATGTCTTCAGGTTGGGAGAGTTGTGTACTACCTACTATCACCTGTAAGAAGTGAATTAAAATAATGTCAACAAACAGATAACGAGTCAACAACAATAGCGTGGCTTATGACATGTACATGTAGTTTCTTTTTATTTAATTTTTGACACTAAAAATATCTTATATCATTTATCAGGTAATAAAAAATCTTCAAAATCAGTAGGTGAACTTAAAATTGTGATTGTATTTTGCCTTCATTATTTTTTCAAATAGGGGAAAAAAGTCGACTTCAAGTCTATAATTTCGTTTTTTAATTTCTCAACTAAAATGCAAAAACATCCCACATATAATAGATTTTTTTGTGTAGATTTTTTTATAAAACAAAATAACTAGACCGGGCATTTATGGTTGGTGTTAAAACTCATTCACCCCTAAAATTTCACAATGAGCTACTCCAACCTTTGAATTGATAGAGTTCAAATGTGTCTTAAGGGGTGAATGAGTTAATAGCAAAATAAGCGATCATCAAACTGATACATGTACAATAACAAACATCTCTTACAGATAAAGATGAGATTACAGCCATTCATTTACCTTAAACTTATGAAATTGAAACATCAATTAACACAACACAACCAAAATAATATCAAGACTTGAAGCAAACTGCATTACTTTAACATTTACAGAAATATATGGTATTGTCTAGTGCAGCAAAATCCCTGTAACAACATCTTTCAAAACTAATAAGCTTTTACCTGTGTATCACTATGATGAGAAGTGACGGCATCCTTGATCAGTTTTGCCTCTGTTGCTGTGATACCTCCAACCACAAACACAATCAGCACCTTGTTGTCACTAGGTTTGGGCTTTGCCACTGTTCTGAAGAGTCTGAAATCAAGATTACCAGATAAGGTTTATGTTTTGCTACCGTTCTAAAGAGTTCATAAGAGATTAGCAGATTAGTTTTAGGCATTTCCACCATTCTCAATAGTCTAATAGCAAAATTACAAAAATAAACATATACGAAAATGTTAGGGTTCCTCTATTTTCCTATCTTTACTGGAGAAACAGCTATGCTTCTTGTTGTTGCAAGGTTTTGGTTTTGCTACCGTTCTAAAGAGTCTGAAATCAAGCTGACCAGAATAGTTTTAAGGCTTTGCCTATGTTCTAAAGAGTTTATACCAGATAACATTTAAATGAACATGTTTCGGTCCAGCCATTTTCATGGTATTTTACTGCGGAAACAGTTGCATGTACCATATGGAACCGAAGACATAAACCAAGTATACACCACTTTCTGATTACACAGAAGTAAACAATCTTATCCCTAGCTAATATATATTATCACACATCATACAAAATGTGAGACCAGAGCATTGCAAAATGCATGTATCTATGTTTTAATAATTTTTATTCATGTCATGAATTAAAAAAATTCTAACTTATTATTAAAATGTAAGTTTAAAGCACTTTAATAAGTATTTGTTTTGTTTTGTTTCTGCTAGGGTTTTGATATTAAATTCTTACCTTAATCCAGATTTTAAAAGATCTGTAAATCCACTTGATATATATTCAATATCTTGAATGTCTCCTTTAGTACTGTCAAACGTCAAATCCATCAGCTGTTTTAACAATGGGTTGCCCTTCGCAGGACTGAGAGTTGTGCTAGGATCAACTATACAACTGCAAATAGGAACAAACAATAGGTAAATTCATGAGAATCGTAAAAGAATTCCACTTTGGACCAAGGATTGTCTGTTAAATTTTGACATACTCACAGGCAAGTAATCAAAAACAGAGGGTATAAGACTAAGTTTAAAAATCTCAACTCAAAGAAAGGTAATAATACTAAAAATGAGGTCCATCAGACCTGTAGCAATCACCTGTAGCTTGGCAACACGTTGTAATGTTTAAATTACAGGAGATCATGATGGCCATCTCAGATTTTTTATTACCCAAAAGAATCCACAATAACATCACTTGGTCAGAGGGGAATGAAAGGTTACAATTTACATGTATCTCGTTAAATTGGGACTTTGTCGGAAATGTCTCAGCTAATCTAAGGGACAGAGTGGCAATTTTTTTTTTTTTAATTAGAACCTGGTTCTGATTAAAATATAGTAAGCTTCTACTGGCCTCATAGATTATGAAAGAGATACAGGAGTGGTCATCTTGGGATTTCTAAATCAACCCAAAAACAAAACCTATTCAGGACCATAAAAGGATCATTTATACAGAGTTAGAATAACTATTACACATAGTAAAAATAGAAAGTACATTTTATGTCAAAAATTATTGTCATGCAAAAAGAATATGCTCACGTAACAAGTAACCAATGGAAGACCTACCAATTCAGCTGGAAATGACAGTAATGTATCCCTGAACATGTTGGAGCCAGAAATGTGACACTGTTTCAGGTGCATTCAAATCCATCGAACATTGTTGAAGTCAATATACAAGGGTAACCAACTCAATGATGTAGTTATGTTGTTGCTAAGGAAAGGAAATATTTTAAATCGGTTATTATAGATACACTTACCATAGATGTTTTAAATGTTGTCTGGCTGAGCTCACTGCCTTTAGCTTACCAAACATGTCATCTAGGATGGCAGATACTATCTCCTCTGTCACTAGGTCTCCCACTGGCCAAACAAGTCATTCAATAAACATATAGCTGATACTGAGGGAGGTTTTTGTATAAACTGAAGAGTCTTTCAACATTTGGAATGAATGGAAATATTCCATTATTTGTAAATCAACATATCTACCTTAAAACTGACAAATAGATTAAGATGTTTAATTGATACGAGTGTTGAAGATTACAAAGTAAACTCTACTTATTTGAATACAAATCAAATATTTTCAACCTGTAGAATGTTTATCACTTACCCAAGGTCTTCGTCATTTTGGGTAGATAATCCTTTCCCTTCACTATACTCTTCACCAGTAACTCCTATTAATAGGACAAGAGTTATAGCATGTACAGTAAATTGTAAAAAGAAAAAACAATTACACAAAGTAACAAGGCAAAGTATTGCAAGGCAATTCATAGTCCCCCACCGGTAATGATTATTATAATAAACAAACAGTACATTTATGTGAGGAAGCATAGGTCACAGTGAGGTCATAGTGACCTACTTCTTGCACTCCGCCATCCCAAAATGTCCTTTGTACACCAAATCTGGTTACTCCAGGTGAAATAGTATAGAAGATATGCCCCTGACAAACATTTTCAGAAGTAAAGGTCAAAGTTCATGTCATAGGGACCTTCTTCTTGCACTCTTCCATCCCAAGATGTCCATGGACACCAAATATGGATACTCCAGGTAAAATGGTATAAATGATATGCCCAGACAAACATTTTAAGAAGTAAAGGACGAAGGTCAAGTCATAGGTCACAGTGATCTAATTCTTGCACTCTTCCATCCAAAGATGCCCTTGTACACAAAATCTGGTTACCCCAGGTGAAATAGTATAGAAGATAAGCCCCAGACAAACATTTTCAAAAGTAAAGGTCAAAGGTCAGGTTGTTTGTCACAGTGACCTACTTTTGGCACTCTACCATCCCAAGATGTTTTTGCACACCAAATCTGGTTACTCTAGGTGAAATAGTATAGAAGATATGCCCTCGACAAACTTTTTCGAAAGTTAAGGTCAAAGGTCAAGGCATAGGACAGGTCATAGTGACCTTCTTCTTGCACTCTGTACTCGGCCATCCCAAGATGTCCTTGTAGTGTACACCAAATCTGGTTGCTCCAGGTGAAAGAGTAGAGAAGATATATCCTGGACAAACTTCTCGGACGGAATGAAGGACGGCAGGACGGAGTGCAAACCTATAGCCCCCGCGGGTTCCTGGTGGGGGACTAATTAGAAATCTCATTACTAGTGGTTAAGCTTTATATTTGTAGGTAACAGAATCTGTTGACTTCCACTTAGAGTCCCCAATATCTTTTTACCTTGATAGCATGCTCCATATCACTGTAGTGAGCATCTTCCTCCAATAGAGAGTAGACATACACAACCTGTGTCAAAACACTATCCAGGGACTGGCACCTGTGCAACAGTAATAGATACAACAAGCTCAGGTTATATACATTATCATTTCAATAAAAAAAAGTAAGTGCATCTATCATCGTATGAGAACAGGCATAACACTTTTTTTTTAGAAATGATATTTTGACTGTTAAAAGTCAGGCATGAATGAAATTTGAACATTACCGTTTATTCTTTAGCCTATTTTTAAAATCCATTGCATAGATCAGCTGACTAGTGACTAACCATTTTAAATTTGTATAACATATCAATTTGTGAGTATGGTATTAAAACATATTATTAACATTCACATATACTTTATTTGCGCAATAGAATCAGAACCTCAAATATAAAATATAGAGGGAGGAGAGCCAATGCCAGTCAGCTGTAGGTAGGGACCTTAGATAATGTGCCTACTGTAAGTTACACTTCCATGTATTGTAAACAATATTAAATGTGACCTACAGTTCCTCTGGTGACTTGTCCTGTGTGGTCTCCAGACTACTCAGTAGGACAGACAATGGTCCTTGACCCTCCTCACTCCCCACACTCTGTATCATCAGCTTCTCGGATGACCCCAGTAGATCCAACTCCTTATTTCGAGAACTCTTCAAACATTGACACGTAGCCATGGCAACCTGAACTGTTTCTAGATGATTTGAGATTGCTTTATAGTTTCCTCTGCATGATAAGAAACAAGTTTATTTAGAAATTGTATTCAAACATTTTGATTACAATCTTTTTCGGGACGAAAAAGCTTTACTTAATTCTAATGCAATTAAAACTTAACATCTTTGCTGCATTACATACAACGATATTATATATATGTGTCAAACAGGATATGTGGGCAATATATATGGAATTACAAAGATTTCAGTTTTTGTATCAAAATAATCAGCTTATATAATGTGCTTGTTATGGAATAAAACTTTGATGATATGAGATAAACTTACTTAAACAGCTGAAGGGTATTATCCAGTTGTTCTGCTGTGACACGGCCAGGTTTTCCTGATAATTTGAGGGGTAGCTTTTCTGTAGAGGCAGATTCTACAAGTGATCTATTGACCTCCATTAGCCCCTCCTGTTGGAAGTCAGCTCAATTCATTTATCAACATACATATAATGATCATACTTTTCTACATTTAAATCTTTTTCCTTCCATTTAACCGAAATAAACATGTTTTCCTGGTGAAATCATGTAAAGATTCAATCCAAAAAAATACCAATTTGTCCATTTTTACACATTTTATTGATATGAAATGTAGCCTAATAGTCTATTCTTTACTAGTGAAAATTCCATGTCAAATATAAAGTACACCTTTTTATTAAATAAGTTTTACAAATGAGATTTTTATTCAGTTGACCCTTATAACAAGTCAAATAATATTTTACTTAAAATTATGGTCAAACATGTGCACGTCAGCTAGACATGTCCATTCATACCAAAGTGTCAAAGCTGATTTTGGGGGGTCAAAAAAATATTCTCTAAAGGGTCTAATAAAAGCCCCGGGATTTTTCCCCCACAAACGTATATGAATCAGAAGCAGTGTGGTACAATGATTTAAGATTTGATGAACCCAGTCCCCTTTTTGATAGCTTCATATGGACTGGGCCCTTTGTGCTGCTTAATAGAGGTAAAAATAATAATATGCCTATGTGGTTTACTTGATACCTTGACTTTAGAGTTGAGAAGAGGCAAAAGATGTGCTTGAGTTATCTGCCCTTTACATCCTGCCAAACTTCCAGGGGCTATCACTTCCTTAGATTCACTACAATAAAGAAAATGTAAATGAGCCTGTCAGTCTGAACAAAGTGTATTTTCCTTCTTTTTGTTAATTTATTTTGATGGCTGAATTTTTATTATCAAACCATAGAAGTCAATCAAGTCTGTCATATAATGATTCTATCATGCACTGCTGACAACAGATTTCATAAAAGAAGGAATTTGATTATCAATCAAAAAGCATTAAATCTTGAAAAAGAATAAATATCATCATGCTCATGTTTTATTTATAATTTTATAATACACTATAACTTAATTTAGGGTGAAATAGTAGAAAACTGTTGTTTATTAAGTACATTGTATAAGAAAAGAAAAAGATTAAGCATACAAAACTGCAGGTCTGCCCAGATACATCTACCTAATGGTGATGTAGGAGTGTGATCACAGAAGAATGATAATGCCACTTGATTTCTGTGAAAGGCTGAAAACCTACCTAGTGACATGACACAAAGGTGTCATGTCCACACAGACATCATTATGGTGGCCCGGTAACCGTGACAACGTGCTGGTTACTTTGTCCATCAGGACCTCGGGTTGGTGTTGACATGGCGTCATCAAATCAAGATGACGATCAATCAACAGCAAAGAAACCTTGGTTTGTGCAGACTGAAAAAGTCAAATGAATTCATCATTCTAAAACAAGTAAAATGAATATACATATGTGGAGTAATGATTAACACAATCACAGTTATATGTATAGTAACAAACGTAATACAATACATTTTTATGTCACAAAGAACCATGCTACATGTGTAACATTGGTGATTCAGAGTAATAGCAACAATGGTAGTGTATGCGCTACTTTGAGGTTTTTGAAGTCAATTTAAATTTTAAACTCTGATGTTACTTCACTAATTTTTAAATTCTGATTTTGATTACCAATGTAGTAAGTAATAAATTGAATCCGATACTTGTTTCCATTCAAACCAACTTTTAAATCCAAATGTTATTAAGAGACTCATTTGAGATAATCTACTTACATTGTATGTATCTTTACATATAAATCATTGTAGCTAGTTATTTCTACCAAATCAAGCATAAAACCAATATTTCTGCACGTTTAATGTTTTATTATTGTTTATGAAGGAACGTTACATGTTCAGGCTCCATTTTTGAAAAAGTCCTTAACTTTCAGGATGCAAAAGTCAATAAAGGAAATTTTTAACTTGTGCATGCATGAAATAATTACTAACTACCACACAAGTACACATGGGTCATGTGTGTTGATTTACTGACTATGTACAGTGTAATCAGTTTTTCTTTGATAGATTTTTAAAAATAAAAATTCTGCACATCATAAATGTTACTTGCAGTGTTAAGGGGATTAAACACTTTTTGTCTTCAAAGTTAAGAACCCATTAGTCACTCAAGACTTGAGGATGTCTATTTGATGCGGTCGATTTCTAAACTTTTCAATATTTGATGTTTTTACATAAATCTAGAACAATTCATTTTTATTATTATTAAAATGCTTCATGTCACGGATATCATGTCCATACCTTGCGTCTGAGTTTTGCTGGAGGATAGCTAGCCAATTCTGTCGCCAAAATCTTACTGGTCTGACCGACAAAAAAGCAGTCCTCTTGGACATTTAGCTCACCCAGCATACTGTCTATACTGCCAACCAGCATCTACCGTATACACACAAACACAGAGGCTAAACAATCAAATTCTCCTAATTGGCTTCACTTAAACTGATAACATTATGAGGTTTTCTGTGCAGATTAATTGATATCCATTCACTTTTCATCCATGTATCTAATACAGATTTTTCAAGTAAACTATTTGTAATTAATATTGTACATGGACATGGTACATATACAACTACAATATAGATTTTTTTGCAGTTAATTTGACATGTTTGCACTGTAGTTCTCATTACACTCGTTCAATCATTAAGATTGTACAATGTATCATTCCTGTGTTATTCTGATGTAGAGACAAAAACCTACCTTGTACATAACTTGTAATGACTTAGGCAGGTGAGCTGCTTCAACATCTTTCAAATTGGAAAAGTTCTTATTGTCTCCCTTGAAACATAAAAAGTATAAGGTTTTATGGTGGAAATAAAATGTAGAATAAAAGGTATGTTATATGTCACTGTAATTTAACTTAACAGAGAACAGTATAGCTTTGATTCATAATTATACCTATAGCCTAGCACCATCTTGTTGAACCATTGAAAACCAGTACTTTTAATTCATTCATGAATTTACAAATTTAGTGACTGATACAAATGAGGATGATTTGGCTGTTATTTATGCAAATGTGTGGAGAGTGTTTTATATTATATTCATAAATAAACAAAGTGCAGCATGTAACAACAGCCTGTATGCAGATCAATTGAGCAACAGTAGACATATGAAATGGTACTTACCCGCACAGACTTGTACTGCAGTGACAGCCGAGGAAGATCTGAAGACATCAGAGGGAACAACCTGCTAAAGGAGGGCGTCACAAATAGGCCAGGAGTCAGGCAGCTGGCAAACAGGGGCACATAGCTTACTTCTGCTGTGTAGTTCTGTTTACAGTAGTACAACAGAGTAAGATATATAACTTCAGGATGTAATACAACAGAGTAAGATATATAACTTCAGGATGAAAAGATGCATTTTATCTGACATTGTGTAAGTCATTTATTTGAACATTAGACCTTAGTTTTCCCAAGCAAACAACAGCACAAATATGGTGACTCTGAACATCAGGTTTCTGAAGGAGAAGATATTTGAAGTTTTTGGTACGTAGATTACATACATGTATGACACTTGACCTTCAAAAAGAGTCAAGATCATTTTTTTTTAAATATATTCCATAGCCATTACCCCCAACAAGGTACAGCGCAATGCAGATAGTATCACTCAAAGTATATAATGGTTGCAGTTATGTAAAAAAATGTTTCAATTTATTAATTCATTGATTTATTATTTATTCAACACACTCGACCTGATGACCTTGACAGGAATTTTGCAAATATGTTTGTTTTGCTATGATAATATTTCAATACACGTTCCTTTCTCCTTATTAATGGCTCTGCTAGTTTGAAAATTACTTTTGATTAAATGTTTAATACCATATTTCCCATCCACTCCAGTACGCTCTCTTCAAATCGTTCAAAGACCAGATTTTCATCTCCATCAAAAGTCCCAGTCCGACTAAATAGGTGGACACACGGACTCACAGTAGTGATAACCACCACATATTGGAGCTTGCTGGCCTCAATAATGTTCTGAATGACCCGGCTAGTGACTTCCTGTAGCAGTGAACTCACAATGAACACCGCCTTCTTACATGTTTGATCAACGCTCTGAAATATAAATAAAAAATCACAACACTGTATGTGTATGAAATAACTAAATTATCAAAAATATGGAGAGATTTGCTAGAATGTTAATTAAAAGCTTGATTTGTATCATCTTTTTTTGTTATCATTTAATCAAGGAAATTACACAATTGAAATATAATAAAGAAATGAAGTATGCTATTTATCACTTCAGCAATCATAGCAGAAATCACTTAAAGCGTAATACAAATTGATACTAATAGACAGTTTTTAATGAACAAGATTTAATTTGTTTTACAAACTATCCCTATTTTGGAGGGAGACTCTCGATTTTGGACCCTAAAATGGAGTATTTTCAAACTGTGAAACTGCTAAACAATTCCTATTTTCTATGATCTGATGACTCAAAAGATGCAATCTGAAAGTGTTATTTTAACAAGAGGCCCAGAGGGCATGTATCGCTCACCTGGATAATAAGGCATCATGGGAAATTATTCTTATTACATTAAATCCCTCCAGTGGTACAGAAGAAGAAAGATTTAAAAAGTTTAAACCTCTAATTTCCCTATTGGGCCCCGCAACTTTTATACAAAATTGAGTCCCCTTGGCCCAAAGATGCTCCAGACCAAATTAGGATATAAAATCCCTTTATTCATACTGTAGGAGAAAGGATTCCAAAGTTTTTTACCTCTATTTTCCCTATTGGGCCCCGCAACTCTGCCCCCAGGGGGTCCAAACTCACCGTTCAAGGATGCTCCAGCTTAAATTGGGAGAAATTCCCTTAATCCCTATGGTAGAAGAAGGATTTTAAAAGTTTTACCTCTATTTCCCCTATTGGGCCCCACCTCTCTGCCCCCAGGGGGACCACACCCACCGTTTATACAAAATTGAGTCCCCTTGGCCTAAGGATGTTCCCGACTAAATTTAGTCCAAAGCTACCAGGGGGACCACACCCACCGTTTATACAAAATTGAGTCCCCTTGGCCTAAGGATGTTCCCGACTAAATTTAGTCCAAAGCTACCAGGGGGACCACACCCACCGTTTATACAAAATTGAGTCCCCTTGGCCTAAGGATGTTCCCGACTAAATTTAGTCCAAAGCTACTTGGCCGTTCAGGACAAGTAGCGTTTTAAAGGAAAAGTTGATGGACGAACAGACGGACGCCGGACGGACGCCGGACGGACGCTGCGCCATGGCATAAGCTCACTTGCCCTTCGGGCAGGTGACCTAAAAATTGTTCATAGAGTGTACATACACACATTTTTATGCTTTAAATGCTAGCACCTTTAATATCCTCCATGGAAATTTCATCAAGAAAACAACAACATATCATGATTATTCAGCCTACTAAGTTTCAAAGAAATCCGTCAAGAAATGTAGGAGTATAGATCTCCGGACAAAAAAAACAAATACTGAAATGAACAAAGGGTAATTACTTTTGAAAAAATTGTTGAATCGAAATTCTTTTAAGGGAGACACAACTTTATATCATGATTATAATGTATACCAAGTTTCAAAGAGATTGGTTGAAAAATGCAGGAGGAGATTGCCGGACAAACAAAAGTTTACGCCGGATGGACAGACGGACGGACAACGTCATACCATAATACTACCGTCAAATTTGACGGGCGCATAAAAGTTGGCAGAATGTAGTTAATATTTTATATTATGATTTAAGCTCTATAAAGGCCACACTACTCTTTCCTTATGATGTCATATAACCACCTCAAATGAAGAGAATTCTTTAACATTGATGGCTCCAGCCTCCAGCAAAAGTGCCAAGCCTCCATTCCAATGTAGGTTCTCAGCAACTGCATCATCAGCAAAAACTACTGCTCTGTTCACCTTCTGGCATATCTTCTGCCACAGGGACACAGAGCTTTGGTGTAAGGACCTCATCGGGACAGGACCAGAACAAAACTACAACAAAACTTATATTTTTCAAGTTACAGTTACAATAATGCAAATTAATTAATAATGTCAGATCAGATTTCAATAATATACGTATAAAAAGCAATCACAGGCCTTATGACTGTAATAAATACATAAACTTTACATAACGTGTCCTTTTGTAACATTTGATATTGGTATAAATACAAATTATAAACATTATAACACTTTCAGTTTTAATGTACATAACTTTAACATATCCAGTGCATTTATAACATCACAGAATTTTATGAAATGACACATCATCTAAAGTTCATCTATCGATCAAGATTGCATAATAACATAGCCTTTGTTTTCCTATTTATAATCTGGTCAAATATATAAGTGGATTTTACTATGATTAACTGGTTTCGCAAGGCAACATGCATCTATCTTGATTTGAGGTCAGTATACGTCTCAATACCTAGTAAAAGAGAAAATAAGCTTGGTATTACCTAGGTATGTGAATGAACTTAAGATGATATGTCATTTGGTAGCACTCAGTTGGGTCGAAAAAGACATTGACATGTTACAATTTAAAGTCTGGTGACTTATTTTTATGAAGACATTTGCCTTAATGCTTTATTACTGACTTAGTTAAAAACAAGTTCAAAATACTCAAATCTAATTACATATATATAAGTTCTATTTTTAATTAGGGTCTAACCCGTCTTAGAATATGACTTATCAGGTGGTTGAAATTTTGAGTGACTGTAGTAACTTTTAGTGGGTTTTTGAACAGTAGTACATGTAAGTTAATATAAGCATGTTTGGGCGTTCCAATTTACTTATTATAATCAGTAATGCTAACTTAATGCTATCTAATCATCATTGTCTCAAAAACCCAGGTGTTCTATATAATCTAGCCCCAGTTTCCTCTGACCCTTGACCCCAGACTTCAGACATTTTAACAGATAGCAAACATCTACAACATATATAGTCCAAATTTCCTCTTGTGTTAGGTTGTTTCAGTAACAGGTCGTTTCGGTAACAAGACGAAAGTCATGTCAAAAGTCGTTTCGGAATTTTTCATTTTTTTTTCTTCTGTAGATACCATTGTCTATATTCTTTAATCACATTTTATTGACAAATAAAATTGAACAATGGATTGGGTAAAAGTTGTTACAACGTATCATACATATAGCTTTCTCCCATCATACATTTACCATTACATGAAGTAAATATACACAACATAAAAACATTGTTCAAAACATATTGCTGGATTTGATGAATATTGATTCACATGTCTAAAACATATTCTACATATTATTTCACGTTTTTACTTTTGTGAAATTGAACTTCAATTTAGCAAAAAAATGCTTAAAGCATTGTTAAAATCAATGTTAACTCATTCTTCTCTTAATGTCAATAATGGAGAACAGAGTGAATTGAAATCATATTAAGAATTGAATATTAAATTTCATAAGTTCCTCTCTGTATTTGATAATGATATTAGTTTCACCAGGTAACACACACTGTCAATCGGGTAAAGATTGGTAGGTATCCCCTCAAGCTCTAGCAATCTTGAAACACTTAATGATCCCTAGCACGAGTAGGTCTTGACAAATGTCATAGACTAAAACTATACTCGTGTATTTACAGGACTTTATATGAAACGGGAGGGAAATGTAATTTGTAAGTTACCATAAACCTTATTGTTTTATTCGACTTTAGTTTAATTTAATGAAAATTGAAATCTGAGAAAATAGCTCAAGCAGAGTGTATCACAACTATCTGAACCTGTTCAATACACTTTAACACGATGACAGTTTGATCAATATCTCGTTAATACTTACTTGTTACAATATTATAACCGATGATCTTCACATTTAATACATCACCAAAATTGTCAAATAAAATTGGCCTATGCTAGATTTTACATTGCAGCAGTTGTCTGCTACGTTAACCGGAAGTAAGTAGCACGTAAGCAGTCGGCAAACCTCGGGTGACTCCCCTGCGAGGAAGGAAGCACCCGAGGAGTTCCGAGTGACGTTGTTAGAACTCTTCAACGTTTTGGTACTGGAAGTCCGCGTAAACATGAAAGAATCATTCGTTGGGTCGAGTCAGAGATTATTTGAGACAACTTTTACCTACAGATCGCAACGAATATCTTAGCCGTGCTGAAAATATGTTTATAATGCAATGTTTGTGTCAAATTGTACATCTTGACAAGTACCAGAGTCGATCTGAGTCGAATATCGATCGTTATACGTTATACGTCTCTGCAAAAATACAATTGGTATCTCAGTTACAACAACACTGAACAGGCTGCTGCTAATTCATTGGTATCTAGCTTCCGAAGCAAAACAAGGGAGTGTTGTAGGCCTACCATGGAGGAGGAATACCATCATAATCTGACTGTGATCGCTTGTTGTGGGTTCGATACAGTTCGTGAATTTTATAATCTCGCACAATACACTATGTACATATAAGCAAGTAACGTTATCAATATTGTTATCATCGTGCGAGTTTGCATCGGATTTCTGATAGCTGGCGACAAACTCTTCTTAGGGGACGATGGGCTGGCTGATTCAGTCTGTCATTCTGGTTTTCTTGGGAGTTCTCTGTTATAAGATACCCAATTATTTTAGGACCTCTTTGCCACCTGTTGTTGAAGGAAATTTTCACCCTGATTTCAGAGAGGTTGCCAATGTGTTCAGGTAATGACAGTAACTTCAAAGTTAATCGCCTTATTTGTATTGTCAATTTGTAGGTAATGGATAACTTTACTCCATTTGTAAAGGCCCTGAGGAAGGATGGTCATCCCAATATCTAACCCGAGTTTCCTCTGGCCCTGACACCAGACTTGGACATTTTGACAGATAGATGTCTGGTGTGGGCTGGGCCCAACAGACGTTTATCTGTCAGAATGTCCAAGTCTGGTGTCCGGGCCAGAGGAAACTCGCAATTGGGCTAACAATACCTTATACCTCCAAGCATCCTGGTGGACTTGTATATAACATTATCTGCATATGTAAGCGCAATACCATTAAACGTTTAATCTAATTTTCGGGTTAATTATGCACCTTGTCTGAAAAAACTTACTATCTTCTTTAAAAAAATATCTTCTCCATCAAAAAGGTTGATAGTCATTTGGTTTGGACTACACGCCCATCCATCATTAAAATATATAGTGGAAAGGGTATTTTATGTCAGCTTTATGTTGTATCTGTATCTGTATTTTTTCCTCACGAAATGAGCATTACTTATCGCGGATGATTAGAGGGTAAGAATATTGGTAGCCCGATCACTAGTTTCCTCTGGCCCTGACACCAGACTTAAACATTCTGACTGATAAATGTCTGTTGTAAAGGCTCATCCACCCAAAATATTGGTGTGTGCATATGTAGCTCCATTGCTAAGAAAACTACTGGCCATGACCAAATGCAACATCAGTCGCTACGTATACATGTACATACACACTCGCCCAAACACTATACCATTCATGTGTATATGAACATCAATGTCATCTAAAGAGTACCTCACAAGTAATTATCAAATGTAGGTCACTGTAACCTATATTACCTGTATCCTTTTAAGGGACTTGGGTTAAACTTAGTATTATCTCAGTTTCCATAGAATGATATATCTCTGAATTCCACCGAAGAAGGGTTGGGTATATATGTACATGTGTGTTTTACAAACATTTTCTTAAATATTTGTACATTCCTGAATAAGTGAGGATGATGAACATAAGGATTGATATCAGGAACATGACGATGAGATAGTGCCAGGATGTTAAGACATCGATGCGACTCTCAACCCTGTTGAGCTACAAGTTGAGCAGGATTGAGCTTAATTAATTAGAGATGAAATAAATTGTAACATTCAGGTTTCTTAAATATGTCATTTTGATATCATCAACCATGTGCACTAATCATATACATTGTACAATGTGTGTTACATATTGATAATACTGGATTACAGAATTTGTCTATTGAAAACCAACTTGGGTCATGACATTTCTTGGTTCTGTAGACTTATTGTCTATTGAAAATCCACAGTTATTTCCAAACCCTTGTTTTCTAGTTTAGAAAATAATCACTGTCTAAATTGTACATATTCAGAAAGCTGGTTGAGGATGGCAGTGAGAAGGGAGCATCGTTTGCTGTTTACTACCGTGGGAAGCCTGTGGTGGATATGTGGGGTGGATATGTTGACCAGGAGTCTGAGCAGCGTTGGAGAAACGACACAATGACACTGGTCTTTTCCTGCACCAAAGGAGTTGCCGCCATTGTAGCAGCTATGCTTGCTGACAAGTATTAATTTTTAATTACCTGACTAGTCTAAGGCCATAGTAATCATGAACTTGAGCATCCAAAGGTTCAGCGTTAGCCAGCGTTCATTACCCATCCAACTGTTCATCATCTACTTTCTTGAGAGAAAAAAAACCTACATTAGCAACTTTTTGCCTCCGACTATAAATGATGCTCAAATGAATGGCCTTGACCTACTTTCTAGGTTACATTGGTCTTATACTTTTTGCAGCATATTAGCAGAGCAATGATTCTTGGTCTTTTAAAAGTAATGGTTTTCAGGATTGTTTCACTAAAATAATTGGCCCACATTAAACATCACTGGTCTGGGCTAAATAAGTGAAAATATTGAAATTACTCTTTGTACCATAATATGTAGGGTAATGTTATCTAGCCTGTAGCTTGCTGACAGTGATGGCAGGCCACCCAAACAACTGTATTTGTCATATATTCGATATCACATTACCAGATAAGCAGCTTGTAACTTGCACAGGAAATGTTGTTCAAATTCAAGGTAATACTAAGGATAAACCATTAAATACAAGTTAAATTATTTTGTTGTTGTTGTAGAACTTCATTTTTGTCTGTTTCAGAGGATTCCTAGACTACCAGAAGTTGGTTTCATATTATTGGCCTGGCTTTGCCAAAAATGGAAAAGAGAATATCACTGTCGAAATGCTACTGAGTCATCAGGTAATAAACTGAAAATATAAAAATGTATGATATTGTTGTGATTTAAAGGTACGTACAACCTAACCAATCAAGTGACAGTTGTAAATTAAGAACTCGGGAATTAAGGTAGAATAAAATCATGAGATTTGTTTTCTATTTTCCTTTAAGAAACTGATTTGTCAAATGTGATTAGAAACTCATGGCTAAAATATAGCAAAATATGACTGTAATTAAATGTAGTTCCCGTTACAAAATCTATTTTAGGCAGGCCTTGTTACAACCAATGAAACAGTCCCTCTACATTGGTTAATCTCGGACCCGGAGAGGTTGGAGCGATTCCTGGAAAATCAAACACCAACAATAAAGCCAGGTATAAATGAAAACAAACCGGTACTAACAGAAAATATAGAAAGGAAAAAGAGTAACCTAACGAAGATATAGAAAGTATAAAGCATGTGAGCTGACCTGAGTGACTCAATTAATACCTCTAACTATTGACATGCAATTCCTATATACATGTATATACTCCCATCCATTTACATGTGACAAAAGTAGCCTTCCCAGTTCTCCAGATTATTGTAACAGAAAGTGAAACATGTTCAATGGTCAACCGGTGTATTTTACAATTTTCAGCATATATTTGATCCCTGTTATATTCCTGGTATGTCAAGAAGGTTTTGTAGGGGTAAGACATTTTGTTTATCAAATTGTGTACCTGATATATGTAGGAATATGTGTTTGTGAGGAATTTGTATGACTGTGTATATGAAGGTATTTGTAAAGTTTTGGATATTGTTTTAGAGTTATGTATTTGAAGGGTTGTGAATTATCAGAAAATGTATTTGTAGGTTCAGGTGTTGTGTACCATGCCATCACCTATGGTCTATACCTTGATCGTTTGCTGCCTAAGATTGATCCCCAAGGTCGATCAGTGAAACAAATGTTTGAGGAAGATATTGCGAATCCATTCAGTAAGTATGACAAAAGTCCGATAATGTTAAATGAGAATGCCTGCATCAATATAGTTCTCAAATACTCAGATGGTACATGTTTTTGGACTTCACACAAAATGTTTGATCTCTTATGATGAAAAATATTCTCATTTTGTTTGTCTCTTGAAATGTCAAAAGGCTCCTGGAGTTGTTAGTGTACTACATTGGAATTTTAGCATAGCAAATACACTGTAGTGAAAACTAAATTCAGGAATTATCTCCCTTCACTTGTTAAATCCCATTGAAACCAACTTTAAAAAAAAAATCTGCAAGTCCTTATATAAACACTTCCAGAAAATTTGCATTTATTGAGCTGTGAATACAATATAATCTATGTCATTTTGGTGTTTTTTTTGCACCTTGCATAACTTGACATCCTGAACAAATACTTACATGAATATGTTAGCTAGTCTGTCCCAGTGTTGCTGTTTGCATGAATGATATAGACACTTGAATATCACAAATTTAGTTCTGGTTTGGTTTTATAGGGCTAAGTGTCCTATTACATGTAACTATTTAGGTCAATTAAGGAGATGCATACCACCACAAGTATTAAGGAATATTTTTATTGGGATCTCTAAAATTAAGCTCAAAATGTGATGTACAATGTAAATATTAAATATTGGCGAAATATTTGGTGACATCCCAAAAAAAGGTATTAGCTAATTTATCTCATTCAGACAAAAGAGATCCTTGAAAATTAGGTTCTCCAAAAATAAAGACTATTTCAGTATCTTACCATACACTTGGCTTGAAAAATGGCTCAGCTGTCCTCTACTTAGTTCACTGACTTGTGATACGGCAATAACAAGTTGTATGGTCACAGTATGACTGAAGGAAATTTGACCGAAATTTGTTGAATAGATTTGAACCTCTATGGCACAAATGAATAGCTCATATTACATGCCACTACATACTACGATAGTTACAAAACTCTTAAGAACATATTGTTATATGATAAATTTAATAATTTTACGATAATATCGACAGAAAAACTGCATTTAAGAAAGTGCACAAACATTGTTTTTAATCAAAGAAGATTTGTGATACAAAACCAATTTTCTATTCATAAGTACATATCTAATATTAAGAAAGTATCTGTATATCATTAAATAGAAGTGTTTTGTCTTGTTTAAAATTACAGATATAGACTTCTCTATTGGATCAAAGAAATCAGAGGACTATCGGTTTGCACCTTTTACATCCCTCGATGTTAAAAACCTGATCTTCAAGTTCCTCTTCATGCCTTCGTACTGGGATGTGTTGTTGAGAATGATCCAGCCCAACTCACTAGTACTGACTAGTATGTCTGCTATAAAGGAGACTAAAAAAGTGGGTTTTATATTGAAAATTTCTATTATTTTCTTTATTAACTCATTCAACCCCTGAAATTTCATAATGAGCTATTCCAACCTTTGAATTGGAAGAGTTCAAAAGTGTCTTCAGGGGTGAATGAGTTTATTGTTAATAGTTCTCTGGTATTAATAGCTGGTAGCTATAAATGTTCACAACACTGTTTGTCTTATTTTCACTAGTAAAATAGTGCAATTTAAAGCTATTTTTAGGTCACCTGAGCTTTAGCTCAAGTGACCTATTGCTATCCGTCTTCGTCCGTCGTCCATCGTCCATTAACATTTTACATTTTCAACTTAAGCTGAATGTCTGGCAAAGGGATTTCATTAATATTTCATGGGAAGGTTACTGACATCTCCCTGACCAAGTGTTAAATTTTTATTTTTCGGGTCGATCAGAAATCCAATATGGCCGCCACGGCCGCCATTTTGAAAAACTATTTCAAACTTAAAGTCAAGTTCTACTTGGCTGATTGAACTGAAACTTTGTAGGAATGATCGACTCATGGTCCTGACGAAGTTTTGTTATTTTTCAGGTCAATCAGAAATACAATTTGGCTGCCATGGCCGCTATTTTGAAATTCCTATTTCAAACTTAAAAACAAGTTCTAATAGGCCGATCTAACTGAAAATCGGTCTAGGAATGATCAGCTCATGGTCCTGACAAACTGGTACTCAAATTGGTACATATTTCAACAACAAAAATGAATACTGTAGGACTCAGGTGACCGTTAAGGCCCATGGGCCTCTTGTTATAATTCTAATACATTTTATTTAAAAAGTGTAAAATGTGTTTGCTAAACTAACTTATGTATCAATGTAAAGCTCATTTTGCACTGGCTAAAAATGTTACTATGAAGTAAGTAAAAGGGCAAATCTAAAAATTGAAGAAAAAAAAACATTTCTTTTGATTATGAAAGATGTAGTCTTCTCAGATAACAAAAAATATACCAAATTGAACTTTTTTTCTGCTGTTGATAATCAATAAGATTATTTTAAAATGCCATGAGAATTGTACGGTATTGGCAAACTCATATTTTTATTTTATTTACAAGAAGTTTATTGATATTGATTTTGTGATTTAGGTGTTGTGTAACACAAATTCATATAATAACCTCACAAATAGTTTTCAGATTTCTACAACGTTTGTTAACCCTTTCACCACTGTAGACCATAATAGACTCATTCAGATCAATGCATGGTAGAGTCTACTAAAGTTACATAGGGGTGAAAGGGTTAAACTGAAGAAAAAAATAATTTTACTTTTAGTTTCTGTTGCAATTTGATATTACCCAATAGCAACGGTCATTATATTGGCTTTTAGCCAATATGGTTTCATTGATTTATATTCTTGTCTGTGAACTCGAACAAATCCAAAGTTAGCTTGTATACTCACTTAAATAAAGTCAAATCACAGAGACTGATAGCCAGACCACGCTAACCTATCATTGGTTCCTGAAAAAATTGCAGATTATCGTCTCTGACTAATTGTTATAAATCAAGGTATAAAAACAATTTGTAGCTTGTCTTTTTTAGACATTTTACTAAGGTAGATTTGTTTTTTGAAAATTGATTCCATTTGTTAACTTATTTGCAGAAAATTGACATTATATAACAAGAGAGTGAACTCGGAAATGAATGAGATAAAACACGAAGATACATTAGTATGGTAGTTGTTCAGCTCCTGTTTGTTTGTCCAATAGATTGCCATGTTAAGGAACCCTGAGATTCGTCAGGTCCCACTTGTGTCCGTCATGGGTCACGGTAATGCTCGCTCACTAGCCAAACTGTACGGAATTCTGGCTAATGGTGGACAGATCAATGGAAAGCAGATGATCTCACAAGAAATGATCCATGTTTTGAATAAACCGGTTGTCTCTAAACTCAGCCTAGATTTACATAGGCCTGCTACATATGGACTTGGCCTCATCTTCTTTGATAATCCACAGGTAATTTGAGTTGTAAATATTTTCATTACATTACAAAGAGGATGTGTGTATACTAATTAGCTATCTAAATAAGTCTATTTTTATGATTACAAATTAGGTGTGAACTTATGGACTCCTAGAATTTCTGATGGCATAAAGTTGAATGATGTCAGTGTAAGATATGATATTTGTATTCATTATCAATATTATTGTTTTAGGTAAACATGATTTATTGAGATGAACATATATTTTATATTGAAAACTTGATCGTAAGACTTAATTTAAACAACCATTTGTTACTAATTCTACAGTAAAACCTTTTTGATCATAGCACTGCTCGGTCAACTTCAAGAAAATTGCAAGACAAACTCTTTTCGGAACCCTACACATTTGTTCGTAACTATTTCATGCATTGTCAAAGAAACATTTATTAGACCAGAGATATCACTTTTTCGACACATATGCATGAATGTTTTCAATAATGTACATATGATTTAAAATTCATAGATTAAATCTCAACAAATGTTAATACCATCATTCACATTTTGTTTATTGTTGTTTTATTAAAATGTTATTCATGGTGCATAACCGTTGTTTTATTGACTTTGACCATGTGTTTTCAGGGCGGCAAGGTGATTGGACACACGGGTTATGGTGGACAGATGGCTAATGCTGACGTGGCAAACCACCTAGGTCTAGCCTACATCACTAATCATCTCTCCGAATACTCCTTTGGAGATGATCCTAAGTACCTAGCCTTACAAAAGGCCACTTACAACTGTCTTCATAAACATTCCAAAAGATATGCTGATTAAATGACAAAAACATTGTTCTTGTTTTGACATTTTCTTTTCAAAAATCTTCGTTATTTATAGTAAAGAGACAGGAAGAAAGATTTAGATCTCCTAATTATAGATCAAGAGAGCTTATGTCCGTGCATATAGCATTCCGCTATGCATCTGACGTCGTCTGTCTGCCAACTCTTCCTTTAAATGAAATAAAATAAAAATTACTCCTTAAGAACAAACAAACATGTTTGAACTAACTATGGTAGGTGATTATCCCTGGAACAATGTTTTTTGGTGTTTTTTTTGCATTTCATGGCCTTGCTGGAGATAGTAGAATATGGTGTAACAAGTGTTAATGGATTGACAGATTTAAATTATATATGATATTCAATCAAAATAGTGCTAAGTGATAACAATTTAAGCATGCACACATAGACAATACGCTATTGGTATATAACCATGGTGCTTAGCCCATGCATATGTACACACGTACATCTGTAAGTAATATTAACTTTACTGTACAAATATATATATAGGTTCCTCATCTCAAGTTGATTTTCATTGTTTTAATTTCTTAAAATATACTCTTGTGCTGTAAGCAATATCACCAGCAATCACTTGCGGAGGAACCTATGTCTTTGCATCCTAAAATTGTATTTCTTCTCTATGTGAGAGAACTATAGCCAAGGTCCATGTTGGTCCAATAGGAGTTGTCCAGTTATTATCCTGCCGGGAGGTCCAGCCTATTTCGTACAGTCTGTCTGTATCATCTCCTCCCAGTCCGGCCAGAACGTTTCCTTCATTCGTTCACAGTAGTCGCATAGGTTAGGATACTCTGTAGGTAAATAATCCAACATGTCCGATATAAAACCATTACAGATATAATACTTGATAAAAAGGTAAACACCACGACGACGGTGCTGGCAAGTACCTCCTGCAAGTGTCGGAAAGTTGCATAGAACATATTGACATGAAACTGTATTTTTTTATAACAGCTTAGAAAGTGTTGTTTTCCAATGTAAAACAGGTATTCGGAAAGAAAAAGTTATTGATGGTTATGAAGAAGAAAATAGTCTTTACAGTTATGAACATCAATATGATGCCCACCGGTACTTTTGCCAACTTGATTTTTACAAACATATTTCAATATCCCTTTTTAATTTTAACGGTTCCATTATATATTTACCTTAATGTATACAGCTAAAATCCTTTAAAACGTTAAAATGTCTCTGGCAAATTGTGGCAACATAACGAAATTTTGCTGTAATTGGTCCCCCACTTGTGAGCTAGACTTGAATTCCTAAACGAGTTATGTTTTTTCACGGGCACCTGCATACATTGATTTATCATGAAAATGTTTTGTCGTGTTGATTTCATACACCAAATATCAAGGTTATGATAAAGAGTCGAAAGGTCTGTGCTTGTCTGTTCAAACATTTTCAGGAATTGTTTTAACAATCTAGGAGAAATTAAAGTTGTAATGTTTAGAGTGAAGTATACATTAATTAATGCCATACTGTAGATGTGTTTCGGGGTTATTAATTTAAAGACAAAGAGTCTGTGGTAGCCAAATCAAAAAATTGAGTTTCCGGAGGTAAATGGGATGTAATTTTAACTACAATACCCTGGTCAATTTAACCGAGAAAAATACAATACTGCCAAAGAAACATTACTAGATGTAAGCTTTACAATTATTTAACGCACGCAATAAAGTTTCAAAAGGGAGAATGGATGTAAACTTAACCTTTTATGACAAATGGTCCAAGTCCGCCAAATGACGCCCATCTGATCTCTGCCAGAATTCCGAAAATAGCACAGTCGAACTTGCACGCTTTGTCACCGAACAGGAACTTCTTAGATCCTAAAAAGATATAAAAATTCAACAAAATGCATTATTGTAACGAAGGATTACAGATCATGTAACTAGTACTGTTCAACAAACCATCGACATATTGCTTGCACTTTCATACAGATTGGTCATACTGTTTACAAAATATGATTATGACCAGTGATATCGTTTCAGTAAAGGAAATTTCAAGCACTTTTTTTAGATTTTGCAAGCATTAAATCGCACCAGTCGTAGATTGAAAACTGCTGGTCATGTAGTTCCGGTGTGCTGCTAAAATCTACTTAATCGTTCGGCAGATACATTGTAGAGCTCTTTGAAATGTGTATTTAGTCAACTCTGCTCGAAAACACCCCTGCAGGTGGGGATCTCGGGAAAAGATTACAATGCTGTTACCCACTTCATGTATCGTAGGAGGTGACTAATGTATGGGAACCCCTGCATAATTAGGGATTTGCTTTGGTGTCCTCTGCTTGGGGACACAAAATGGACCAAAATAAATCTGCTGCACCCATTGAAATAATTGGGATCTTTATCTTTCTTTCTACTTCTAACTACCTTTTATTTCCTAGCGCCTTGCTTGGTAACACCTCGCTTTTGACTTGAATGGCAGTGGGTTCTGTCCCCAGGACGCGTACGGGACATACCAAAGTCCTTAAAATGGTAGTTGTTATTCCCTGCTTAACGTTCGGAATATAGGGGAATGGTAACAATTGGTTCACCCGATGTCAGTATAATGTGACCGGGCGGAATATTGTGCTGGGTGCCATCGCCATGGCATTTCAGTGAGATAGCACTATAACGTCGGCATCAGATCCGCGCTATCACAAGGAGGCAAAACACCAACATACCCCGCCGTCTCCTACATACACACACGCATGCATGCATACACTACACACATGGGGCACGTCCTTATATGACATGAGCTGTTAATAGGACGTTAAACAAATGTAAACCAAACCTAACTGCTCGAAAGACCTACTCCATCAAAAGATCACTTGTATTGAGACCACTCTATGGAGTTCGTGAATGTGGTCTCTGATACATGTAACATGTTTTGTTGTGTTTAATCTCTGAGGTTACGTAAGTCCTTACCTAGGTAGTCAGACAGCGCCTTAAGATCTCCTGACATAATGTGACGAATTTTCTCGGGTGGATGGCGTCCGATACCTTGCGCATACAGCTGTTTCCACACTTTGCTTTTATATAACCGCCTAACAGCATTGGAGCAAAAACATGTAAAGTATCATCTGTTTGGTCAACTGAATATCATCCCGGAATCTTTGTTTCATTTCATGTACATTTTGTCAAAGTGTTTTAACTTTCAGTAACATGTAATTTCACAAAAAAATGTCATTTCTGTTGCAGATAAACTATACTTTTATGCTAGTATTAAATTGAAATTTGTTACTGAATTTCGTCATTATTCATTTAACCTGAACTCGACATAATTTCCATCTTGTACAATACCAGAAGATGCGAGGAACTTTAAGCTCCTTCAAGCCTATGTTGTTTTCGTCAAGAACCAATCGATCTGCCATAAAGCACCTGAAACATATGAAATCATATCGATATGACAATCTGCGATCAGACCTGGAATCATACTGTAAAAGACTACAATCATTAGAGGGCGACAGTGACTTGAGTCAACCCGAGGGCATCACTGTCACCTGACGAGATTTTCACTTGAGGTACAAGATAAGATAATTCTAGCCTACCAGTAAGTATTTTCCTCTGCCATTTTCTGGAAGGCCCTGCCGATTCCGATCTGTTCCTGCGTGAGGCCTCTGTGCAGGTCGAAGTTTTTCTCTTTACTCAAGAACTCCAGAATATACTCGCTATCTGACACTTCTTCTCCATTGTAATCTATAAACGGGATTTTTCCGGTTTTTCGGCTCACTCTGAACAGTTTATGTTCGACCTACAACAGGTACATGCTTGAGAAGAAATGCTTGCATTAACCCAAACCGAATGACTATAATCTCATGCATAGTACGATACTGCTTTTCCACAAAGCGGCATCAATCAATTGCACGTCCGTAGTGGTACGGCTAATGGTATATCAACAAATACAAAATTGCAATTTCGTTATTTTAGGTAGGGTCGCATGGTCACTGAAATAGTATTTCAGCAGAAATAGCAGTCTGTATATCAAAGTTTGTCAACCTTTCTACTTAAATTCTTCTAGATTAGAAACACTCATTGTGACAGAAATAAATTCAAACAACAACAGCATGACAATTGTGTGTTTCAGAAATAAGAACATGTTTTCCTCAAATTTCTCACTATGTATACCTTATAGACGAATCAACAGAATGGAAAAGTTTAATAATAGTTATGATATAATGCTGACTTAACTTTGAACTTATGCTGTGTTGACACCATTGTATGGAAATGTAATTCGTGTGGTCTAACAACCCGTTCTAAAGCAATACCGTTATCAATACGTACCTGGTAGGGAATGCCTTCCATCCGGAAGTACGTCTATAACTTAATGACAAAGGGCGTGAGACTGGGCACGTGCGGACCACGTCCTATCTGATGGATAACAATGGTATCCCGGGGGTATACCTTCCTGTTGGAAACGATCAACACGCCTCACAATAAAAAGCATTTCCTAAAGTAATGAGAAAGTCTGTCTCCCAATAGATTGAGAGATTGACTCTTATCATTGACTTTCTTATGCCCCCGTAATATGATGGATTAATATAAATGTTTGCCTTTAATTGTGTGTACGCACGTATGTATGCTGGCTTGGTTAGACTTTGTATTTCTGTTTAACTAAATATAAGTCACTCTAACACTAAAAGTCCATCATTCACCAAACCTCAGATGTGGAAATATCATGAGGTTATAATACAGAAATATCCGAGGCAGGTCGCTATGATCTATACTCCCTTTTCTCTTATCTTGGTTAGACTTTTCGTTTGATTCAATTGCTCTTATACTAGACGCCAAACTTAAGGAGTTTTCTACACCAATATGATTTTGTAGATGTATCAAAAGTAGGTCACTGTGATCTTTATTTCTTTGCTGACTTAGGATACTCTATACATTAAGCTCCATTTCGATTTTGTGACACAAGAATGTTGAAGTGTTGCTGTAGTGTTTTTTGCTTTATATTCATGTAATTTTTCATCTGACAATATAAATATTTGTGCTGAACGACGGCTTGCATTTGGTCAGTGTCCAAACACAGGTAAATGTACTAGCCTCGTCTGTCAATACAACCATACTATTATGTGTGTATTCACCCATAATTGGTTTTCCCACTCCCGACTCATTGGATAAACCTACTAGGAGTGGGAAAAAAATTGGTTACCCACTTATGGGTACACCACACTGAAAGATATCTCATTGGTCAATCTTTTAATTATAAGTCAAGTACTGTAACACTATTCGATGTCATATTCCATTGTGACGTTATAGTGTATGGCAATGGTTTCCCCGATCGGAAATAGGAATAATGTATTGCCAGGGAAAACATTCTATATATAATATCTGAACGTTGAGGGAGAAAAAGGTCCCCGAACGTGTGATGACTGGTTATCATGTTTATCTAACTCAAGATAGTTAGCTTTCGAATTATCTTGAGACACGATCGAGGTTCTCGTTGGGAACCTATATATATATCACTGACAAATAGATTACACGGGGTCATATGTGTAAATATCAATATTGATATAGAGTTATACAACCATGGTCACGTGTATATGTACATCACCTTTGTAAGCTACCTAAGGGTTAGGCCAAGCAAACATAGTTTGTGTTTTAGAGCCTACCCTAAAAAAATGTTTTGTCAATTTCAAAAAGCAATGTGAAAGTCAAGATCATTCTCTATCTTATAACCACATAAAATTGTTTTTTAAAACTGAAAATCTTTACCTTCCTACCAACCCAACATTGTTCAAAATTATTACAGGAAATATTGTTTTTGTTTGGCCCAATCACATATGCACATATATGTTATTACATCACTGGATCGTCTAGCAATCCACATACCGATATCACCGATAAGGTAACCCAGAGAGGAACACGTTTCTGTGATATCCATTACATGCTTTGGTATAGCAATGTCCGCTACAGCAGTACTACTGGTGTGTTTTTATATATTTCTCTCATGTTTACATTATGTTTCATTACGTCTAACTCATGGCTTTAATCGTTTTATATAACTTCACAGTGTCAAATAACCACAGGTTGTGTGAAATTTTAAGCATTGAGCTAACAATTAATACTGTCTGTACCGTGTATGTTTAGAATCTATGTGTAACACTTAATCAACATACCGTCACAACTGCCTTTGCTCCCTAATGTTAGTGTATATAAACATTTATCGCATACCTATTGATTTGACGGGCACCGAGTCCCTTCCAGAGCGCTGCCAGCACCGCCCCTGCGAGCACAGCCCCTCCCACAGCCTTCACACCCAAGGGTTGGTCTGCAATCACGTCCGTCACTTTGGACAGCGCCATGTTGGAAAGGTCATATAAATTGTGGCGCGTGCAATAGGGAAAAGGTTTTTAAAACGTTATCGTTTGGTATACAAACCAATATTTAACATTTTAAAGTATCGACAAAAAATATCCTAGGAAACCTACCTGTTACAGGACGCCATGACTTATCTATTTATTGAGATGTTTTATGCAAATATAGTGTAAAAATATGAAACGAAAGATAATAGCTTTTATAGTAGATAAAAGATACTACAAACTATTTGTCCTTTTTATTGTACACCTTTAGATTTGACCATGTTTTATTACATAATTGAACCAACATGGGAAAGGTACGTTGTACTCGTTAACATAGCCCCTTACTATTTATATAAGTTAAACTATGTGCCACACGTATAAAACAAATCACAAATTTAGGTCAAGCTGGCTCAGTTTCGTTTTCTGAAAAGTAGTTTCTTTGATATTTCGTTATCATTTCAAATTATCATCTTGGATCAGACGTATTTATTCTTGCGGTTAGATATAAATAAACAGTACTTCCCAATACCCTACGCAAGTATATGTTTAGACTTAAACACATCAAGTTATTCTTACATAATTGCGGATGGAGATCAATAACGGCAATTACGTCTTTTTACTTTGTTCGACTTTCTATAACATTAAAATATGTGCTTAATTTCTTTGTTTTAAGTGATTATTTTAATGCTGCAAATAAAGATAAAAAAAATCGTTGGCTCTATACTGACCCATAACCTGTATGTGAACTCTAACATCACAATGTTCTTACTTGTTTAATACTTTCACTTTGACATCACTATTCGCAGAACGGTTTTTTATTTTAATTGTGTCGATTATAATCAAGCAGAGTCATTGTTTATCGCAATGACACCCTTTTCAACGGTTCATGAAGTTTAATGTGTTCAGCTCTGTTCGTCATCCTCTGCGCTTGATAACCGAACTACTCGATAGTGAAGCGCACGCAAAACAACGTAAAACAATCAAACACAGTCTGTTTCTCCAGACGTAAAGGTGATTGGTATGAGTTAAGTGGTGCATCTCTAAAAGATGAAACCCTAGACCAAGTGAACGTTCATCATTGATGTATCCTTGGTAATACATCTTATTCCAGCTATCATATACTGTGTCACGTGAACTAGTTTTGATGGTCCGTTGACGTTGCCAGCTTCCTCATAGTGTTAAGTTTTTGCTTTTAGCTGTATGAATGTGTTGTATCTAAAACGTTCAGGTTCTTTACCAACTTAGCACCATATGTAGTGTGTCTCGTTGTTTGCATTGTCCAGTGTCTTAGCGCCAATGTAAAGTTGTTTATGTTTATCCTAGGTCTGTTTCTCTTAGGGTTTCTTCTCTTAAAGTAGCAAAGCTCTGACTGTAAATGTCATGCATATCCCATGTACATGCATGCTTCGGATGCTAAATATAGCCTTGATTATCTTGATCCAGGTATTTCTCAGCAAGCCATTTGTGGTCAGCAGCTGTTACGTTTAGCTGTGTCCTTTTGCGAAACGTACAAGTGCTTACTGTCATGAATCGTTAAGGAGTTGTCTTTCAAGATTGCGGCAGTAACATAAAGCAAAAGGTAGGTGTCCATTTCAAACTTGACAAACTGTTGTTTCTGAACATAATCTGAGCACAGCATGTAGCAACGTGAACCAGGAAATGTGCAAAAATCACATTTCGCCCTTCAGAAACAATCAGATTCTTCAATTACTTCAAACAAACCAATCACGAAATTTGCCAAAGCGTTGATTTTTACCAGCGAGGCGTGAATAGCCGCTCAAATATGGTCCTTTTTTATTATATGGTTATTTTTGGAAAGTTTCCCTCACGGATTCATGACAGGTTATACACAACTCCAGTTATGCATCGTGGAAATGACGTAAAATTTTAATGAAAGTATCTTTTAAATAAAACAAAATATCTGAACTTTTCATAACTTAAAACTCAACATTGATTTGATGATTTGACAATTAAGACAACATCTTTCATTAAACAAGAATAAACTGAACTTGAATATGAAATTTTGTACAAAAGTATACTTCAAAAGTTTCAATTTAAATAAATTTTCAATTTTGAATTTAATTGTTTATTTTATTTTTTAAATTGATTTTAAAATTTTTAGAATTATCAGATTTTTTTTATTCTTTTCTTTGCGTAGAGCAAGTTTTCTGAAAAGTTTCACTTCCATAATCACTAACGTTTCACCATAGGTATATCCTGTAAACGGTACATATCTTATTCCTAGCAACAAATTGATGTATGATCTTAGTTTGTATGGACCAGCACCAATGTTAGGTATCTTATGAAGGTATACACGTACTTTTCCCCCCGTTTTCTAGATCAAATACTATTTGTGGTTCAAATCAGAGACAGGCGAGACAGAAATTACGCGGATTTCATGCTACAAAAAGGTTTTTTTAAATCTCATTCGGAAACAGGAAGCCATTTAACCATAATTGAGGTTATGACAAAAACAAACGATCCTGAATTAATCCTGATGTCATCTATCATGTTTATCAAACTCTCTTCAGTATGTTAACGGCAAATGATGACCTCCAGTAAATAAACATTATAACACACCTCTTCTCATTGGAGAATATCTTTATAGCTTTCGTAGCAGAGGTTTATGGGTGTACAGTATATGGAACATGCATATAATTTTTACTATGTTTGCATAATTGATCAATTTAATCAATCGGTGTATGATATCAAGCAAATACAACACAACTAAGTCTACCTTGAGTAGGTTATCAGAAAAATATCAGAAAACGTTTCAAGTTTTTTATAACAAATAATTATTTATATAATTATTTATGTTCTTGAAGATATAGTCCACACATTATGTGCCGGTTGTATCCGATGACGTGATGAAAATTGACATTCAATAACCTTGTTGGCTGCGTAATATTTGTTCATTAAATAACGACTGGTGAAACTTTGCCTATTTGGTACAGTCTGTCTGTATCATCTCATCCCAGTCTGGCCAGAACGTTTCCTTCATTCGTTCACAGTAGTCAAATAGGTTAGGATAATCTGTATGAGAAACAAAAAAAGATCGTATTATATATACAAGACATTTACAGCCTTCCTAATTATAATAATAAATTAATTGTAAGCTAATTAATACGTTGAGTTGAATTCACGTTGTGTATAGCCCACCAGGAATGCAGATTTATAATATCGGTTGCTTGGGAAAAGTGAAAAAGCACATGTCGGTCGACATCATACAAATTAGGATAGTGACAACGAGGTTATTAGGAAACAAATGGTATCATCAACAAACCTAGATAGATATTGATGTTCTAAACTACGCAAATATTAATAATTTCTGTTTTGTGTTTACAATTACTGATAAAAGGAACAGGTGCGCTTATAGTAGATCTCTCTCCAATCAATAGATATGAAATTTAATTGAAACCAGTCTGTATTAGGATGCTTAATCTGTATTGAAATATTGTAGCTCACCGTTTGACTACAAAAGTATGTGATCGGCCTACTCTCAATTGTTTTAAATTATTTCTTTTATGCCCTTTTATATTTTCCTTTTGAAGTTTATTTTTTTATTTATCCAGGCGAGACCAGTCGATCCATTTACAGAGAATATTGATAAAGTTAAGTCTATATTGTTTATTTGAGTGTCATAAATCACAATTACATTGATACATTTTAAAAATATATATACAGTTACAAAGTTTAAAGCATAAAGTTACATAGCAGGGATCAATCATAAACATCATTCTTATTTTATAATAATTGTACCATGAATGTTCACTAAACACTCTTTCAACTATATACGATGAAGTTGAATAATTTGTTTCGGGTAAGAAACAAAGTAATGTAAAGTGACACTGCAGAGAAAACAACCATGGACGTATTACATGTATATTCTTATGAAATTAAAGTATAAAATTCAATGATACAAAAAAACTCATCATAATAACTTATTTAACAATGCAGTGACTTACTACGGTAGTACAGTTAGGACATGCTCAAAAATATTTTCTACTTTAATTATCTCGAGCGCTCGACATATTTTCTCGAGTCCTTGACATAACTTCTCGAGCGCTTGACATCTTTTCTTGAGCTCTCGACTTATTATCTCGCCTTCCAACTTATCTACAAAACAAGTTTGAATAGTACGCATGAATAGTTACTAACTGACAAATCTTACCTTGTAGGACTGATGCTCCGAACCCGCCGAATGACGCCCATTTCATCACAGCCAGAATTCCAAAGACAGCACAGTCGAATTTACACGCTTTATCACCGAATAGAAACTTCTTCGATCCTAAAACACAGATAAAAAGTATGCACCGAGACACATATACCTGCAGTCTAAACTGTCGCACAAAACGTCATCACTAACAATAGCCATACTGATTTAACTTGTGTCGCACAGACTCCTTTAAAGAATGACAATAGGTTTGGAATCCAAAGAAAGACTATGTTACTTATTGCAAATTTAAAGTGCATTCAAATGACCTTTTTTCGCAAGCAAAGAAAAAAAACGCGTGTTTAAGCAAAGGTTAAACGTTGTAATGATATTATTGATAAAAAGTCGACAAAATCGATTTAATACATCCAGTAAAATGGGTTACATGTTGTAAGTTATTTTGCCAACATTTACCAAGGTAGTACGACAGGGCCTTGAGGTCTTCCGACATAATGTGACGTATTTCCTCTGGTGTACGACGTCCCATACCTTGTGCATACATGGTCTTTTGTATGGAGCGTTTACCGAAACCCCTAGAATAAAGAACTAGTTTTTATGCTCGTGTTGATTGGCTTTTTGGCAAGAAAAGTGGCGCTTGGACGAAGTTGTTATAGATAATTACACTTTTTCTTTTGCAAGCGTCTTTTGGTCAAATTTGGAAGCCTTTTAGTCAAGCATATTGCTGGCCGAATATCCTCTCCTTTCTGTATAACCAAAAGACGAACGATGGTGATATTGGGCCAGTAATATGCTGGATTGAAAAGCTACTACGTTTGTGCAAATCAATGACATTGACTCATATTCAAGGCCAAAGGGATCAAAAATGTTATTAAGAGATATAGATGGCCTGTATCGCTCACCTGGATATTTGAGCAATCATGGAAAACTATTCTCAATAAAAGTACTTTTGCAAGAATTTTCATATAAATAAAACTTTATGCTACTCTATCCCAGCATGCTACTGGTCAAAGGTCAAGGTAATTTATTTTTGGGAAATTTATAGCGCTCTGTATCAGGTTCCTACTGGCGAAGTAGCATTACTCTGGGCCTCCTGATTATTCTGAAGAAGTTGTTCCAAGGATTTTACATATTTCACCCCTGTGACATTGAAAGTAGGTCAAGATCATTTATTTAGGGACACTTTATATCACTCTGTCCCAGGTACTTACTGGCCAAAATATAACTGCTCTTGTTCTCTTGGGTTTTCAAAAGAAAATGTTTAAAGGTTTTAAAATCATTTGATCCTTAGACTCTTTAAATAGGTCAAGGTTATTTATTTGATGAATCTTTATAGCACTTCATGCTAGATATCTACTGGCCAAGTATAATTATTCTGGTCATCCTAGTTCATCAGAAAAAGTTGTTTAAAACATTTTTACATATTTGACCCCTGTGGTCTCGAAAGTATATGAAGAAACTTTATGTCACTCTGCTTCAGGTACTTACTGGCCAAGTATCAATACTATTGACCTCCTGCTTATTCTGAAGAGATTGTTTAAACTTGTTTTTACATATTGAACCCTGTGACCTTGAATGTAGGTCAATGTCATGTATTTGAGAAAAGTTAAAGCACTCTTTCCCAGGTACCTACTGGGCAAATATCTTTACTTTGGGCATCCTGATAATTCAAAAGAAGATATTTAAAGATTTTTAAACACATTTGAACCTTGTGATCTGGGTCAATGTTATCCATTTGAGGAAAGTTTATAGCACTTCATGCCAGGTACCGACTGGCAAGGTATTGTTACTCTGGGCCTTCTGGTTATTCAGGAGAAGTTGTGTAAAGGGTTTTACATATTATAACACTCTGTCTCAAGTACCTACTGGCCAAATATCATGGCCCATATGTCATCCAGTTCTTAAAAAGAAGTCGTTTAAAGAAACAATTGACGGACAACGGACGAGCTAAAAAAATTAACACAACTTTTTCTTTCTGAATAACAAAAATGGCTAGGGTGATGATATTTAATCAGTAGCATGCTGGGATAAATAAGCAAATGAATGACATCGACTCCTATTCAAGGTCACAGGAGTCAAATATGTTAAAATCTTTAAACAACTTCTAAACAAATAGGTCTAGGGTAATGCTATTTGACAAGTAGTAATCTGGGATGACGGACTACCAATTTTGTTTAAATGAATGACCTTCACCCAAACTCAAGGTCACAGATGTCAATTGTCTTAAACACTTTTAACGACTTCTGAAGAATAACCGAAAGACCTAGGTTGATGGTATTTTCAGAGTTATATTTAGGGATGAGAAGCTTCCAATTTTGTTCAAATAAATGACGTTAACTAATAGTCAAGATCACAGGGGTCAGATATATCTTTAAACGACTTCTGAGGAACAGAAGCAAGCTGGTTTAAATGGTTACCTAATGTGTTCAAACGAATAACCTGGACTCATATTCAACGTCACATGGGTCAAATATGTTGTGGAATAAGTAACATTTCTAGGGTGATGATATTTAGCTAGTAGCAGGCTTGGATGAATGGTTACCAAGATATTTCAAATGAAATGCATTCAACCTATTTCAAGTTCACATTGATCAATTGTCTTAAGAAACCTTTGAACAACTTAAATATGTTGTGGAATAAGTAATATTTCTAGGGTGATGATATTTTGCTAGTTACATGCTTGGTGGAAGTCTATCATATATAATATGTTGAAATCTTTAAACAACATCCCCTGAAAAACAAAAAGGTCTAGAATAAAGATATTTACTCAGAAACATGCTCAGTTGAAGAATTACCAAATATTTTCAAATAAATGACCTTCACCTATTGTTAAGGTCATTGGGGTTAAACATGTTAAAATATTTAACCAACTTCTTCTTTTAACTAAAATACATAAGGTGGTGATACTTTGCCAGTAGGATGTTCGGATGAAATAGCAAGCAACTTTGCTTATGTGATTGACCTTACTCCAGTTTCAAGGTCCCATATGGTCAAATGTGTTGAAACCTTTTAACCAGTTTTAGCTCACCTGGCCCGATGGGCCAGGTGAGCTTAATCCGTACTGCCGCGTCCGTCGTCCGGCGTTCGTCCGGCGTTCGTCCGTCCGTCAACTTTTTCTTTTGAACGACTTCTTCTGAAGAATTGGAGGTTCTAGGGTCATGATGTTTGGCAAGTAGTTACATGGGATTGAGTTCTATAAAATTCCTCGTTAAAATGACCTTGACCTACTTTCAAGGTCACAGGGGTCAAATATGTTAAAAACTTCAAACAACAATATCCTAAGAACCATATGGACTAGAGTCATGATACTTGGGTATGTTATGTAAACCAGCAGTGCGAATCGTTTTCTTAATTACAGTAAAGAGGCCAAAGGTCCAGTTTAAGTGCTAGCCGGAGTCAAAGGTCAAAAAGTTAAAAGCTTTAAAATTAAAATTTGAAATTTCAACAATACTTAAGAAGCGTTTAAGAGATATTAAAATGTCTTGTGTTCTAGTTACCAAATTTGGTCTGAAGTTACCTTCATGTCAGTTTCAAGAGAAACAGATGAGCGATACAGGCCCTCTAGGCCTCTTGTTCTTTGAAGGACTTAAGAGTCATAGATGATGATATTTAGCCTGTAGCTTTACTTTTGTCCATTTTTAAGGTTACAAGTTTGAGATTAATACCAGGTGAGTGATGCAGGCCCATGTGACCTCTTGTTTATTGACGAGTTTGACTTAAATTTACGACATAATTACCACAAAATTCGAGGGACACGAAACACCTTCCACACCATATTGGTTTTGTCAAGTACCCATCGATCTGCCATCATGCACCTACAAGAGATCGACATGGAATACATATTTTAATTTGTTTTTTTTAATATGGCCAATAAATAATGGTTACACAAATACAGTATGATAGATATTCTTCATTATAAGCAAGTCATGTTTCTTTTTGTATTCGATGATATCTAACTTCAATATAGAATCCATTTCCTTTAAAAGAAAATAGCATTTTAGGATTTAATAGTATATAAGATAGACGCAGGCAATTAATTGCTTCTATGTCCATATCAAATCAAATAAAATATATATATAAATAAATTCTCAATTTGTTTGTGAAATATGGTTACCTTTAATATTTTTACAATATAAAGTTTTACCTTTGGAATATTTGAATGACTCCACCACACACTATAATAATTAAAACAAACTCTGCAGGCAGTGTGACTGTTACACAAGTACATATTAGGGGAGGAAGTGAGAGGAGAAATGGAGTCGGGTGTGTGATGCAAAGTTTATCCAGCTAAACTGAATCAATGTTCTGTAAAAGGTCATTACATAAATTAGCAAAAGCACAGGTTAAAGGTCATTAAATCAACATATATCCATTTTTCCTTGGTTTATCATTGCTTTTGGATAAAAAAAAAGTCACATTATATAGTATATATCACTGTGACCATAAGCCCATAACTTATCATTTTTATTCATGGTGGACTCGTTTGGATATAAGATCATGGTCTGATCTTTAGAGTGTGACAGTGTCTATGGTTATCACTGTCATCCGAACTATAGTCAATGAGGCACTGTTACACTCTAATGAGTGTAGTATTTATATAACGATAACCTACCAGTATGTATTTTCCTCTGCCATTTTCTGGAAGGCCCTGCCGACTCCAATTTGTTCCTGTGTGAGGCCGGTGTGCAGGTCAAAGTTTTTCTCCTTACTGAGAAACTCCAGAATAAACTCGCTATCCGGCACCTCCAAATCATTGTACTCTAAATATGGCACTTTTCCTGTTTTTCGGCTCGGTCTCAACCAGCTATGTACGACCTACAACAATATCACGCTTACAGAAAATTGAATCAGTTGGTATAAGCTATTTTTCGCAGAACGAAAGACAAATATTTCAAACAGACTGTCATCTTGCATATTCATGTACCGGCATCAATAAAATGCGGATATTGTAAAAATCTAAAGAACCTTGAATCTTCATCATTTCCCAAAATAAGTGTTCTTAAATTTTTGACCACCCAAAATTGTCTACCACTATTTATCATGCTAAAATCAAGTTATCTATTAGTTCCTTTTTGTCTAGAACTGACTAATGATTCCTCTTCAATGTAATCGAGACTGAAACATTTTGGCAAACAACATACTTCGACAAAATCCAATCTTTGGTAATCACATTCACATGTACACCACTTGCAAGAAAACATACACTGATGATGGTATCGTCCAATTGATAAATCATTTGCAAAGTATATGCTTTGTTTTATAACGCGTCATATACATGTACCTATGAATAATTAAGATATAGTCATTCTAATTAACCATTATGAACACAAGAACCCGTGTATGGCTTTTAAATAGAAAACTAGTCCTACCTTGATATAATTTACTTAGAGGTTATTATATGCCTGTTTTCAAATCAGACCCCAGATTGACCCGAGCTACGTATATCAGACCCAAGGGCCGAAGGCAATATCGACAATTGGAATGATACAGTATCACATATGCAATTTGGTCGAAATTTCAAGAAAGTATATGATAATAAGCTATATTGTTGGTCGTTATGATCTTATAAGAAAACTTTTTATTTCCTTGTGGTATGAGACTATCGACGTTGTTTATTATGCTTTATGGTGTGCTGAGTGGTTTAAAATGAGTGTTTCTACCGTGGTTCAGACTTTAAGAAATTGACATTGTTTGAATTTGACCAAGATTTACATGGCAGACGTCGTTCAATTAACAGATGACGCTTATTCTACAGAAATCTTTGTCTCGTACCTCTGTAATAAGATTCATTAGTTTTGAAATATGTGATATCAAAGTTTTACTTTACACACAAACAATGTACGTATTAACGCCTTGTTACAGAATCTTTTGAAGTAGGACAATTCGCTGTGCTCTGAACTAAAACGTGAGAAAACGTACCTCATAGGGAATGTCTTCCATCCGGAAGTACGTCTCTAACTTAATGGCAAAGGGCGTGAGACTGGGTACGCACGGACCACGTCCTATCTGATGGATAACAATTGTGTCCCGGGGGTAAACCTTCCTGTAAAAAAAAACATATGTGTGCCCCATCTCATTATAAGCATTGATTTATACTTTCCTGCTTTTATAAGTGTATCATTACAACAGGTTGTTTTATTAGTGCTCAACGATGCTTGATTTATAATCGCATTACATTTTAGGTTTTCATAACGAAACAATGTAATTTCATACCAGATATGACAGGGCCGCCAGACAATACCTTTACCTTAAATTGTGTGAGAAGAAACAAATTCTTCAGAGGGACAGCAAGTAATATGCTCGGCAATCATTCTATTAAAATGAAAATAATTGTATTACCTATTATTTCAACGTTTACGTGAAGTTATATAACTTACTTTTGCTATGTTTGTATGAAATATATGATAATTGATAATAATCATTAATATAAAAATTGCTCTATGAAGAACCGTGCCCTCGTTGCCGAGCCTTCTACTGGTATTTCGATAGGAGTCGCTTCCCTTGCATTGCAATAGAGCAAATTCCTGCATACTTAGATAAAAATATATCGTGCGATTTACTTGAAATTTTGCATGTAGTTATTGTTTACGAATAAGGGAAAAATGGATAACAAATCTTTTAACGAATTCTTGAGGGCGCGAAACCCTCCCTGGTCATTCATTCCATCCCTGGGCACTCATAATGGTCACCCGAGTTCAGTGTGCATTAAGCTGACAGTAACTTCTGTCAGATACCTTGATCTGGAATCTATTTATAGGCCTAACGCCCTTTCAACCTACGTTGTAGTCTAGTCGCAATGTACGCTTTTCTCTATACTTGTAAACATGCACAATGTACCTGTTGGCTTGACGGGTTCCAAGTCCCTTCCATATAGCTGCCAGCACCGCCCCTGCAAGTACCGCGCCGCCTGTAGCCTTCACACCCAGGGGTAGGTCTGCAATCACGTCCGTCACTTTGGAAAGCGCCATGTTGGAAAGGTCATATATTGGGACGCATTCAACAGGTTTTAGTCTCATCTCGCGTACATTTCAAAAATACATAGTCTCACCTAGCATTCATTTCTGTTTTCACACCTAATGATTATTTGGCTATAGTCTGTTTCATAGTGGTGTAGGTGGTGTTATAAGGTATAAATACCTGGCATAATAATAAATATGTATAATACATTATATTATGAAAGTATATCTACTTTAATCAAATATATATATTCTATTATCTTTGTCACAGCGACATTTGGTAGTAGATCGTATAAAAAAGGGAATGTACATATATTTTAATTATCTATCAGAAGACAAAATAAGTTGGGTTTTTTTATAATTCTGAGACAGTGTAAGATATTGCCTTATGTTATTCCAATCTTTAAATATTGTTAATCAGAAGTAAAGCCTTATAATTATATAAACAATCTGTAATGCATTGTCTAAACAGCCTTATTTATAATTTAAACTTATGAAAGCACAGCTGACTGATTGTTGTTTTATTGTGGAGGGTGTACCTGCAAAATTTAAATCTAAACATGGTTTTGTGCGGACATAGAAAGGAAACATGTTTTTTAATTTTTAGTAATCAACACATCAGGATGTAAGATACTAGCTGCCTTATATTTCTTTTTCAATTAAAGCAATCTTTAATGTATTATCTATATCTTATTAAAAACTTACTCTTAAAAAACACAGTTGATTGAATGTTAATTGTGCAATATTGCAGAGAAACATTTTTTTGTTTGTACCAGAGACAATAAATTTGGACTTCGAAATTACTGCGAGGAATGCTGTAAGAAAGGTGCTTCCCCTGAGTGTTGTCAAGTGCTGTTTCTTCCATTACACGTAGTGTATCTGGTGTAAAACCCAAGGATGTGGTTTTGCAGTACAGTACAAAGAAGATGATAGACTAAAACGTTCAGTTAGGCGAGCAGCAGTTCTTCCACTTGTATCCGTTAACTTGGTTAAAGATGTTTGGTTAAACGCCCTTGAGGATAATGACGACGAAAGCCAAAACGTGCTGAAATTCAAGGACTATGTTACAGAGACATGGGTGAAAGGCCAGCAGCTGAACCTTTGGAATCATTTCGACAATGATGGTGCAAGGACAGCCAACAAGTCAGAGGGCTGACACAGCAAGTTAACAAGCTATGCAGACATGCTCATCCTAACATCTTTTCTCTGGTACAGCTTCTCCAGTGGGTTTGAAACGTTCTAAATCTGCTAATAAATATGTGGCACCCTGTTAGATTAGTCATTTTACTTTATCACCGTATGTTCATAAGATTCAGTTAAACATATTGAGTCTAATCGATATTTGTTTTTGTATATACTATTGTGTTGTTTATTTTATCCGTAATTCGCGCTCCGTATCGTGTGTTACTTTCGTTTTGACTGGAGTATATGTGAGTGTGACGTACTTGTGTATGGCCAGTGACAAACTGAACTTTGACACCTGTCATATTGCATGATTCTTCCGGCGTTAATGTACGTTTTCTTCATGTATCTTTATCCTTTCTAATTAAAGTTTCTTTGCTACTCGCTTTATTCTATTTCTGCTCCTCGTATAGAGACAACATCGCCATACATTAAGTATTTTTCTAGCCATTAGTCATGTAATTATTTTACAAAATGGTGACAAGCATTCTCCTTCTAACTATAGGCCAATATCCCTTTCGACCATTGGGAAAGTTTTTGAACGAGTCATCTTCATACACATATACATCTGTATATAGTTGGTGTCATAAAAAACTCATTGGGTTTTTAAGCACCTGTCCGGTTTTATGCATGCTCACATTACTGTATATTAGCTCAATAAATGTTTTCACAGCGGGAAGAAAAAAGACATGTATGTAATTCTGTGATATTTCTAAGCCTTTTGATCGGGTTTGGCATAGAGGTTTGACAGTGGCTAGTTAAAATCTTACGAAAGTTCAAGTGAATTCTATACATGGGGTTAGAAAATTATATATTTCATAGGCAACATAAGCTTTTCTTAATCAATTCCTATTCTCAGTTAGGATTGGACGGAGCGGGAGTTCATCAAGATTATATTCTTGGACCGCTTTTGTTATATGCATTTATGATGTTGCCGATGTATTTCTTTCAGCTGCTCGTCGTTTTGCAGATGATAAATGTTATTTGAAATCATCTTTTTCATGTTTTGAAATTAAAACAATTCTAAATAGGGATCGTGCTAATAACTTGTCAGTTATTTATTGATAATCATATTTGCTTCGATGGAGTGTCGTCCTAAACTTAGGAAAAGATACGTTCACGTTTTCTTTAGATTAGGACGATACGCCATCGAAGTAAATATGGCTATCAATAGATCATTGACAACTCTTCAATAGATACTCCAACAAGAGGCACAGACGGCCTGTATCGCTCACCTGGAAATGTTAGCAAAATTGTTAGCAAAGTTATAATAGCCAGATGTTACTGGAAGTGTACATGTATTACATGGTTAGTCAGGGGTTATATGTATATGCAATGGAACAAAATCCTGTCATTCCTAAAGTAAATGGAGGATTTCGAATAATTTGTTATGTTTCCCCTATGCTCCCCCTTTAGGACCCCGCCCCTCTGTCCCCAGGGGATTCAGACCCATCGTTGATACACAAGTATGGCCCTTTCGCCCAAGGATACTTTAGACCAAATATGGTCATAACCCTGTCATTCCTACAGGAGAAGGTATTAAACCTATTCCTTTATATCCCTTATTGGGCCCCGCCTCTCTACCACCAAGGTGGTAAGACCCACCGTTTATACAAAATTGGTTCCCCTTCACCCATGGGTGCTTCATAAAAAAAAATCCAAATCCTGTTATTCCTACAGAGGAAGAAGGATTTTGAAGAATTTGCTATGTTTCCCCTATTGGGCCCGCCCCTCAGGCCCCAGGGGTTCTATGCAAATTGATTTCCCTTCCAAATAGGATGCTACTGTTTAAATTTGGTCAAAATACCTTCATCCCAACGGAAGAAATAGGATATTAAAGCTATTCCTCTATATTCCTTATTGGGCCTCGCCTTTCTGCCCCAAGGGGGTACTTACCCTTTACCTTCGTGACACTTTGACCAGGCTGAAAATGACGTCACAAAGAATACAATACTTATTGTGTTATTGTGTGACGTCAGTATTAACAGCACGGTTTTATTTTTATTCAGATTAAATTCTATTTATTAAATTTTACGCTTTTCAGCATATCAGTTTACAAATTCCATTTAAATACAGTGGCAGACACTGCAATAATGCAAGAGAGAATGGAAAAAAGTATAATCACAAGTTTATCGTTACAGTATGGGTTTTCTTTATTGAATAGCATCATATATAAATATATTTTTTCATTTCAACAAATTTTATTGACAAAGTTATTACAACTCAATTGGATGTAATAGCAGGCAAAGCCTATATAAACTCTCTCCAACGGTGGCTAAAGTAATGGATTCTGTTATTTTGGATTTGATTTAATTTTATTCATTAAATTTGAAATGAAAATTATAAACACAAAAGTTAAAGGGATTTAACTCGTTCTTAGTTAACATATCTGGAATACAAATACATTCACACTTTTCACATCACACACAAAACACTTTTACAGCTATTACTTATTCTTTTATAGCACTTTATATAAGCTATCAAGTCACACAGCTATTGACATACATTGGTCAAAAGTCCATGTGTTAATATATGCACAGGTCACAGATGCCAAAACTATTAAATTAATGTAATTTTAAACGTAAACAGATAACTTGTCTATATGTAATTCAATGTATAAGACGGACAACACATATAAAATATAAACCACAAACAATATATTGAAATATAAGTACTTACCACCGTTAAAAACATCGTTAAATATTTATTTTTCCTATAAATTTATCTTTATTCATCTATATCTACCTGTTTGGTAAAGTGAACACATACTGAAACAAAAAAGAGACACAACTTCAGATCATGTTTCATATAAAAAGATGTTTTGAACATTATGTCTAAAGGGCCGGTTTCCAAAACGGCCCCTTCTCTGATTCAAATTTCCTGTTGGTGGTGCATTGCCCATGCCGTTGTGGTCACAAATCTATAAAGTATAAAGATTTAGGTCACTTGGTTTGTTTTTTATGGCTCCTCAAAGTTGTACCTTTCAGAAGCTGTCTAAGTGTTGATAAAATGTGCATGTTATGTAAAATATTAATGAAAATCTAATCAAATGATGGTCACCGTAAAGAATACATTCATGGCATGATTGTGACAAAAAATCATGTTTCCATCGCGCCATTTGGCTGTTTTATGGAAGAAACAATCTCAAAAATGCCATTTTCGATGATAACATTTTAGACACAAAAACTGTGTTTTTTAGAGAATACACCCTTTTATGGGCGTTGGATGCAAACCAATTTTTATCCTATTAAACAGTACGTAATATGCTATTGATGAGAGGAAAAATCATCAAAATGTAAGTGGTGGAACATTTTCAAATGTTGGGTTGAATTAGCCTATGGTTGAATTGCCGATTTTCGACTTTCTTTAGATAATTAACAAAAAAACGAGAGTATTTGCTCGGTATGTTGAGAATATGTACACAGATATGAAAAAAAGTGAGAGAAACACTTTTTCATAAAAAAAATCCAAGATGGCTACTTCACAAGTCCCCGTGGTTGAAGACATTGGCTGACAAATAGACAGAACAACAAACAAAACGTGTTCCTTATGATTTTGGTTGGTTTTCGCATTTACGGGAGTGTTCATAGCTACGGGCGATTGTATAATACCTATATTTATAAGTTTGGTTAGTCACATGGTAACGGGGATCTTTCATATCGAGCCCCAAACATACTTTCGACATATGCACTCCGTTGCCGCATGGAAAACTATTTCAAGTTTTGTCGGAATTTCTTTACCTGTGGTTGTAATGGTCGAGGGTTTTCCAGCGTCCTGTAATACCCAAGGTAGTACAAGATACTGGAGATGTGCGCACACATTCCCATCGTTCTCTCTCCAACTGGGCACTGGCAGTAGTAGTCCTTTATTGGGGCCTCAACATCGGGTGAAACGGTGAACCGTATCCAAACGTTATATTTCGTTTGGCTTTTGTGTCGAGAATGTATTTGACATCGGAGAAGGTCTGGGGAGTGCTGGTAAAGCCACACCTCATAGTCTCCGTCATCACTTAAATGTTCGGCGATGTAACCAGGAGCCAGAGATATCTGATACGTTCCACACGTAATGGTTCTCAAGTAATCAAGATCGAGACGGGGAAACAGTACGGAAGATGCATCCATCTTGACAAACTCGGACCTTGCCCGTCTAGATAGATCCGGATCTGTCTTGACTCTCTGAGCTAAACCATTCGGTGTTGTCAAACGGTCCTTCATACGTTCAGCCATTAGCCTATCTTTGGCATCTCTCTCTGGAGATCTCTGGTAGATCGGTCCTCTAATACCATTCAGACAGGCTGTGACGGTTCGAAGCAAAGCCTCGATGACATTGATAAAGCTGTTAGACACCAATTGCGTTCGGAAGAACGTCCAGTGTTTCAGACGACCATGATAGGATTCCACAATCCACCTCGATTTGGTGATAGTTCTGTCAAGATTTGCTTGGACGTCAGAATGTTGACTTTGACCGGGTTTCAGGTATGACGGCATGCTAGCATTGAGGCCAGAGGCTTCGAGAACTGGTAGGACATCTCTAAAACCTCGGTCAACGACAACGTTGTCGTCTGGTTGTAGCCAAGTAACTAGCTTGTCCATGACTTTTTTTGTAATTGTAGCATCATTTTCGCTGCCAGTGAATGGTCCTACTGTGTCCAGAATGTAGCCATCTGGTAAGGCGATGCTCATGAATTTGAGATAGTTTCTCTTCTTCTGGCCACAGTAGGACATTCTCTGGAGCTTGTGGTCGGAGCTTTTCTGGATATAAATATAGGTGCCATCTAATATGGCAGTGGCTTTATCTCCAAAAAATGCTTCTGAAAAGACAGTATTGTGCCCGAGCAACTGTTCTCTTGTCAAGTGATCCGGACCTAGAAATTGTGGGACTATCGATGTGTCTAATGCCTGTACTATGGAGTGGAAAGTTTTGGACACACTTGACTTGGAAATTCCAAAAAGAGAAGAACACTGACTCCAGGAAATGTCGGTTTTCAGTTTTACCCAGAACAGTAATAGAGCATCGTGTGTAGTCTTGGTATATATACCAGATGAAAGATATGGGGAACAGTGCGAGTGGATTTCGAGGAACTGATCTTTGGACCAACCTGTCCAGGCCATGCATGCCGAGTCATCAAGAGAAGAAAAGCTTATTGTAAACGCAGACTGGTTCTGTGAAAGGACGTGCGACACCTCTAGGAGGTCATTAATGATTTCGGACGATTTTGATGGTAACTGAGATTCCAAGGAACCTCTACCATCAAGGACAACCTCTGTAGACGGATCTAAGTCGTTACCAATAAGGTGAATGGAGCAGACGCGGGATGAGGTGGGACACCACAGTTTGTGTGAATAGATCAGGTGATGTCTTGCACGTTTTGGTAAGACTGATGATTTTGTTCCATTTCTTGCAAAGGTAACAAGACAGAGACAGCATTTTTTGTGTGAAGATGATCCATTCAAAAGATCATGAAGGGTCAGCAACGGCAGGATATGGGACGGGGAGTCGTCTTCTTCCTCTATTTCCTGGTTCTGCTCGGGTTCAGGTTCAGGCTGATTTTTGTTCCGAAGATACTTCATGTAGCACTTCTGGCAAATAAGTGCTTGTTCCTTTGCTGACATCAATCCTTGTTGCACCAGCGTATCTAGGAGCCATTTATATTGTGGACTATTTACATTGCGTGCACTTCTGTTCTTATTGCCACTACGTTTCTTGAAGTATACTTGACACCCTTCTCCAACACATTTACCCTCCATCTTGAAACAATAACGATTGGTTTATGAAGCGTCGATAAAGTAACAAAATAGCAAGCCACCGATGATTGCTGTAAACAGCTAATACTTAGTAGTTTGGTACAATTATGCGAAAATGTGTGATAAATAACGAACAACTAATTACACAAAATAACAAGACAATATAATAAATCACATTCAATACCTCCAAGAAGCGCAGAATTGATTGATTACTTAGAACAAAATAAAGTATTTCATATGGATAATCTATCTATTCGATGTGGCGTGGTCGGCAGGCACAAAGAAAGTGAGACAAGTCAGGGTCCCAACCCTGACAGAGCCACAACGCTTTGGAGATGGGACAATAAAACAAGGAAAGTGAGACAAGAATAGCTAGCGTCGAGTCAATGATTCCGTAAACGTATAGACAAAGACAAGAAGATACGGATAAATGTACAAGGCCACACGATCAGAAAATTCAGAAGAGGACAACTTGAGATAGAACAGTATTCATGTATCAGGGTGTCCTCAGTGTAAATCTTTATATCGATACTGTTTATTTAGTCGTTACACATCATAAAACTGTCATGAAAATATCCGCTCTGATATTCAATATAAAAGTTTGTATATAATAAGCTATATAATAGGGTTTCAGACAAGGTTGTTACTCATTTCCCCTTTTCTTTCAATTTACAACCACATTCAGGCGGCGATATGAGAACGTTCCACCACATGGAATTAGCTGATTTTTGGTACACATATGAAACAAGTAAAGCTCTATCCGATTTTCTGATGGAAATTTGCATCCAAAACTATATAACGGGAGAAAATTGCAATTTTATGGCATTTTTCTTCATAATTGTGTCTCTGCAAGTGCATTTTCATCCGAGAATATTTTTTTTTTTGTTTTATGAATAAACACGATGTTTTGGAAATATTTATCAAAAGAAATTTATACTATGTTGCGAATTACAATTTCGAGATAACCTTCTTTTATTTACGAACTTATGTCTTTGATGCTGAAATTGACAACTTTATAAAAATACATTTTCACTGAAATTATGAAATCTGGGTGTCGGAAAGGTGTAAAATTATTCTTCGGAAAAGAAAAAAACAGTAGTTGAGCTAGATAAGAAATTATACGGGGGCAGGCTCCTATGGAGAATTAACATTACTGGAAACAGGCCCTTTCAGATGTAATTGTTAATATTGGATATTGATGTAACACATGTAACCTCCTATAAATATTTAGGTCTTTTTTAACGAAAGGTCAATTCACTAAATGGTCATGATTGGGAATGCCCTACGTGAATCAAAGTTGACACAGCAGCTGTTTTGAAACTATGCCATTATATAGTGTGTGTCCTTCTTGAACATCTATAGCATATATAGTGGTTTTAATACATATACACCGTGGAATGACTGTAGTCGAAATCATTTAATACGCTACATATCATTGTTTATAATCAACCAAAAATTAATATGAGGTTACATCAATTTTCAATATTACGTCAGAAAAGAAATATTGCTCAAAAATATATATTTTATTAAACTTGCACTTCGAAGTTGCGTTTCCTTTTCGTTTCAGTCATCCTCGATATCCAGGGGTTTCGCTTACTTTCTCTCTCTACACCTCTGGAATATGTTGTAGCAAAATTGAAGGCACGAAGATAGCTGTTCGGTTGGTCTCAGATAAAAAAAAAAAAACTGACCAATCGCTAGGCTGATACATGTCCTTCGAAGATTACAAATGAGAGACATCCGACTTCAAAGCCTGTCAATTTCTACCGTTTCGTGACCGCGAGATTCTTCTGATGTTCATCAAAGGATCGAACTAGTCTTCTTGTCTCATCAACGTGCGGTTCACACTGAGCCTTCAATTTTGCTATGATATATTCCAGGGGTGCAGAGAGCAAAAATGAGCGCATGCGTAACCCCTGGATATCGAGGATGCGTTTCAGTAAATATGTCGGATGCGGAACGGAGAATGTAACCATAACTTTTAATAATGTTATGATTGTTTTTTATGACTCAAAATTCAAATTTGATTCATTCAATAGCTTGATATTTTAAGTAAGCACTTTTAGAAATAATAAAATAAGATTTTGGAACATTTGAAAGTATGAAATTAGATGAACATCTTTCATACAGAAATTTGATTTCATTCAATTTTAAATAGAGATATTTAAAATTGAAACTGAAAAAAAAAAATCATAATTTAAAACTGTTTTTTGCGTTTTCTCCAGATAAATGAAAATCGTACACCAAATGAACTTTAACCGTATAACCGTATTATACCTAACATGTATTACTCCTATCATCAGATGCTGTTGGGATCCTAGTTTGTATACTTCCGTATTGTTATCAATTAAATCATGGGTATGTACTTTCTCCATTTAGCTCAGTTTTGCATATCTAATGTTATTGATGGTTTCAAAAGGTTACAGGCAGGACAGTAATTCTAGTAGCAAATGTAATATTTTTCCTGAGAGGAAACCTTTTTTGATATAATTGGAGGTTTTGTTGCAAAAAACTAGTTCCCAAGTTAATCCTGACGTCAGCTGTCTATCAAAGTGTTTTTAGCTGAAAATGACAATCAGTGAACGGAGGCCTCTATATTACCTGGTTCATGAATGTATATGTCAATAAATGAGAAAAACAATTTCACCATGTTAGCATAATTTATCAACCAAATCAATATAAGATTGAACAAATGTATCAAAATAAAACAGTAGTCACCAGAAAATGTACAAAAAGATATTTATTTCACTTTACATATTTTATTCTAACAGATACATGTAGGTTGCATTCGCGTATCACGATTAACGAACGCACTTGGACCCACAGGGGCATGGCTCGCTTTACTTGTAATATTGAAAAATAGGGGCCTCCTATATTAAAAAATACATTAGTATAGGAGACCCCTTTTTTTAATAGTACAAGTAAAGCGATCCTTGCTCCTGTGCTTGGACCGAGCTAAACATGCACAGTTTCGGAAAATAAATAACAATTTATCAAGAATAATATGACCTTCTTTCACGCTTCCAATTATAAAACGTATCTTAAAATCTGCATCTGGATTGACATTGTTTTATAGAAAAAATAACGCAAACTAGCAATAGTCAGCAGTTTAGTTTTGGTCAGGCACTTCTACACGTGCCGAATACTCCCTAGGGCAGCCTCGGTCCAGATATGCGCCTGTCGTATTTTTCAGGTTTGGATACGCGAAAGGGGTCATAGTCTGTGTATTGCCGTTAATGTTCAGCGATCAGCCTAATATTTCTCACAACATCATTTAAACAAACAAGAAACGTTCTACTTCCATGTTTCTTCCAAAGCATTTGTCCGGTTATGAGTGAGTGAAAAAATCTCGTCTACTTGGTACAGTCTCTCTGTATCATCTCCTCCCAGTCCGGCCAGAACGTTGCCTTCATTCGTTCACAGTAGTCGCATAGGTTAGGATACTCTGTAGGTAAGCAATCCACAAAACCAGATTTAAAAAGATAATTACAGATTTTCTTATTATAACACTTATTTCAAATGTATTTCAAATTATCAACCGTAATGGTCAACATAGCGTTTGTTTCATTGACAATAATTTCACATTCATTTACATAGGTTTTGTGAAAGATATCACTTTATAAATTTGATACGTGGTGTAGAAAGCCTCTTTCTTATACAGTGATCTCAAGTGGAACCAATCAATTCATTTACATAGAAAAAGAATAAAGTTTATTGTGGGATAATAATTTTGACCGTGAAAAAATGCCTTAAAAATGTGAACGCCGTATATGCTTTACAATCCAATTGAACTTAATAATTAATTCGTGTTATAAAAGCGAGGCAATTCGTTAAAAGTGTTTATTTTTTTAGCAAGAGGCATAGGGGCCCTAACAGCTCACATGCTATAGTTTTGTATATGAAACAGAGAATTATAAATTAATATGCATCGTATGTTCAATTAATCTCGAGATGTAAGCACTTTAGCATAACCTATCCGACAATAAGCATGCATTAATAAAATCAGTTTTTAACGTAACTATTTAAATCTTTAATTTTAAAGATTTTCCTATATTACCCTAGTGGGCCTCATCCCTCTGCCCTATACTAAAACTTGATTCCCTTTGGCCTTAGGATGCTCCGAACCATTTGAGGTTAAAATAAAGAAATTTTTAAAATACCTATATTTCCCTTAATGGGCACCATCCCTCTGATCTCCGGAGGACCATGCCATTCATTTACACAGGGTTCAGCTCCCTTGACGCAAGGACTCTCCAATAAAATGTTGGTAAAAATCGTTTTCCTTTATACCAACATTTCCATTACTGGACCCACTTTTCTTCCTCCAGACGAGCCACATCCTTCATTTAATCAAATCTGAGTCCCCTTTGCCCAATGATGTTCAAGGCTGGTTTAGATTAAAATCCCTACATCAATACATTAGAAGGATGATTTTAAGATTTGCATACATGTTCCCCTATTCAATCCCGCACCTCTTCATCCAGGAGCCCCGCCTATCCAATTCCATAGGAGCCATACCCTTCATTTATATAACATTGATTTCCCATAGCTAAACAACGCTCTTCACCAAATTTGGTCAAAGTCAATTATGCCATTCTGAACTGGTTGGCATTTTAGTGAAAGGTTGACGGACGACGACGGAGGCTGCACCACAGCATCAGCTCATTTGCCATTCGGGCAGGTGAGCTCAAAATGGAAAGTAGATACAATTAACAAAATATAGTAAAATATTGATTTGATTATCTTCACCCTTTATGACGGATGTTCCAAACCCGCCGAATGACGCCCATCTTATCTCAGCCAGGATTCCAAAGATAGCACAGTCAAATTTGCACGCTTTGTCGCCGAACAGAAACTTTTTCGATCCTAAAATAGAGATAAAGGAAATAACTACAAACCTTCAAATCATTGCTTTCACTATATCTTATACCATGGACATATTGCACAAAAATAATTCCCTCACACTTTATTAGTATTGCATAGGTTTTAGATATAAACATATTTTTTAAAGCAAATATATCATTGCAAATTTATACAGCATTTAATTAACCACTTTAATGATTCGTAGGAAATTTAAAAAAAAGTTACATTTTAAACAATGACCAAATGGTAATGGATACTTTCAACACCATGTCGGGAAATATCAACTTCAAGGAACTCGGTAAAATGTTTAAATATGCTATGGGTTCGTGCGATGGTATTTACCAATATAGTGGGAGAGTGCCTTAAGATCGTCTGACATGATGTGACGTATTTCCTCTGGTGTGTGCCGGCCCATACCCTGTGCATACAGTTGCTTCCTAATGCCACGCTTCGCTAAATACCTAAAAGTAGGAAAAATAATATCGTGGATTTGCTTTTTGATGAAATGCTCGACGCATATTTTCACATGTGATCGATCATACAACTACTGTTAGACTAGTAAAAGTATGGACACGAGGATAAAGATAAGAGATCACTGGCTTTAGGACGATGTTGTTAAAAATTACCTATGCGCTTTTATACAAATAACTTATCATTAAGGTGGGAAATCAATAAAAAGTGGTGAAATTTATCTCATATTTCGTTACGTTAAAGTTTCATTTGGTTCATTATTTACGGACATTTATTCGACTAATCGATAAATTTTATTTAGTATGCTGATTAATACCTTATAATTGCAGAGACATTAAACGTTTCCCAGGCTTTATTGGTTTCGTCAAGAACCCATCGATCAATCACAAAGCACCTACAAACAGAAACATGTAAACATTCTAAATACCACCTTAACTTTCTACAGTCATAAAAATCAAACTAAGCGTGGAAGGGAATTACCGTTATTATTTCTGCGTTTGGATTGTTCCTGATTCAAATATAGGTAAAATGCTTCTGACATATTTCTAACAATATAATTGGTTTCTGTTGCTTAGGTTATGCAGATCATATTACTGTCCACTACCAATGTGTGACAAACTGCTAGCCTACCGGTAGATATTATCCGCGGCTTGTGTGAAACGAAACAATGTTAGCCTCCCAGTAGATACTGTCCCGTGTTAGTGTGTGACATAATGTTAATCTACCAGCAGATACTATCCTGTGGTATTGTGTGACATAATGTTGGCCTACCAGGAAATATGGTCCTGTGTTAGTGTGCGATATAATGTTGGCCTACCAGGAGATATTTCCCCCTGCTAGTGTGTGATACAATGCAAGTCTACCAGTAGGTATTGTCTTCTGCTAGTGTGTGACACAATGCGTGCCTACCAGTAGGTTTTGTTCTCTGCTAGTGTGTGACACAACGCGTGCCTACCAGTAGGTTTTGTTCTCTGCTAGTGTGTGACACAATGCGTGCCTACCAGTAGGTTTGTTCTCTGCTAGTGTGTGACACAATGCGTGCCTACCAGTAGGTTTTGTTCTCTGCTAGTGTGTGACACAATGCGTGCCTACCAGTAGGTTTTGTTCTCTGCTAGTGTGTGACACAATGCGTGCCTACCAGTAGGTTTTGTTCTCTGCTAGTGTGTGACACAATGCGTGCCTACCAGTAGGTTTTGTTCTCTGCTAGTGTGTGACACAATGCGTGCCTACCAGTAGGTTTTGTTCTCTGCTAGTGTGTGACACAAAGCTAGCACACAAAACGATAGTGTCCTCTGTTACCTACGGACATATCCTCAGTTTATATGTTACGTATGTCAGTAAGCTAAGCAATATAGGCATATCTCATAAGGCATTATTTCGGCTAATGTCGGACTTTATTCTAGCTAATCAGCGGGTATTGTCTAAGGCTAACATATCATATGAAAGAAATACTGGCCTACCAGTAAGTATTTTCCTCTGCCATTCGCTGGAAGGCCCTGCCGATTCCGATCTGTTCATCTGTGAGACCTTTGTGCAAGTCAAAGTTCTTTTCCTTCCTCAGAAACTCCAGGATAAACTCGCTATCTGGTAATTCTTCATCATTGTATATCATAAAAGGGATTTTTCCTGTTTTCTTACTTGCCCTATACATATTGTGTTCTGTCTGCAAAATATACAGTTTAAAGATATTTCACCCATTAATTATATTAGTATTTAAAACAGAATCAAGCAATTCATTTCTTTAGTCGAAGTACTGGTGTGGCGATTACAACAGCCGGCATTGTCATGTTGTGTGACATTTCCCCACGTCTGAAATTCATTATGTGTGACTACCTCTAGTCGGCAATATTGTATTGCGAAACTTTTTCCACCCGGAAATGTTATTATGTGTGAATATCTTAAACCGAAAAACGCATGAAGTGAGACTTCCTCCAGCCGGCAATCACAGTTTGTGAGACGTCCTCCAGCCGGAAATCACTGTCTGTGGTGAGACTATCTCTAGCTCGAAATCACTGTCTGTGGTGAGACTATCTCTAGCTCGAAATCACAGTCTGTGAAGTTCATCTTGCCACAAATGTCATGGTCCAGACATATGGTATTATGATATGATATACTACGACGTACCAATGTCCCTAGACATGAAATTTGACAGACTCATCCCGTACTGTTTGAGAAACAGTACTTACAAACTTCAGCTCTTACATTTCAAGATATTCGCCTATCGACCGTCTTGGTTTTATTTACAGTCCCATGATCCAGTATGCACAACTACAGACTAAGGGGAACCTAAATGTAATCTTTGAGAAAAATCCTTCCAGTGCTTTCTGAGAAATATTGCAAATGAAATACTCAATATTCAAGATGGTGGTCTCTCGACCGTCCTGGTTTTCCGTCCGACCAGTCCAACAGCATTTTGATTAAATGTCCCGTTTGAAAACATGAGAATACATACCTGGTAGGGAATGCCCTCCATCCGGAAGTACGTCTCTAACTTAATGGCAAAGGGCGTGAGACTGGGCACGTGCGGACCGCGTCCCATCTGATGGATAACAATTGTACCCCGAGGGTATACCTTCCTGTTGGAAACAAGTATCAAGTCGATTGAAAACGTCTCAAAACCTGCTGGAAAACATCGTGACAGAAGAACAGTTATGCTTTGTCGATTAATTAGACCATGAAAACGGTGTCAGGTTATACATGTAGTATTTGATATTTCATAAGGAGACACCACAGTTTCGCACTGAGTCAGCAAAATCAACTGAATCTTTCAAACAATAATATGGCTTTATGAAAACCTAGCATTCTAATAAATGGTAATGGATTCGGGAAAAAACTTGTTTTGTCAATTTTCCTGTTTATATAACAACAATAAAAAATAGAATCATTATAAATTAAGCTAGAAAATATTTAATTTGAGACACAAATCTGAAAACCAACCTGCTCGGTGACTTCCTAGCAGTCAATCTATGTCATATAGGTATACATCGGTCCACTACACACACATGTACGAGTAACGTGTCGATGTCGTATTTGCGTAATTTAGTAATTACTAGGTGTAACTTTAAGCTACACTACGGTATTGAAATGCTGATACACAATACTTTATTACGATAAGAATAACGGGTATTACGTGAGGTCGAGCCACCTTAAGATATGAAGGTAAACTCGTCCTCAGGTTGGTGCAGTAGAGTGGTCTGAAGCTAACAATACTGCCACACGTACGTATTTATCGAAGAGTCTATTTTAGTATTTCACGAACGTACCAACCCAATAAGACATACCTGTTGCTTTGACGGGCCCCAAGTCCCCTCCAAACAACAGCCAGCGTTGCCCCTGCGAGCACAGCGACGCCCACAGCCTTCACACTCACGGGAAGGTCTACAATCGCATCCGATACCTTTGACAGCGCCATGTTTGTGGTAGAGGTCATGAACTAGATCATCGCATACATGTATTGCACAGCCGTTCCTCGGTGGGGCACACCAGTAGTTTACGGCATAATTTTCTGTAGTTTGTATTGCTTAAAATATCGACAGTTGACTCCGCTTGTTGTGATACAACAATGTGGTTCATTAATACGTGTGAAACTCCTTTACTCTTAAATCACGATGAAAAACAGCAATTTATCAGTCTCTCCACAGGCTGGTTGTTTATTATACTTACTTTACACTAAGTGAGTGAAAGGAAAGACAACTCTTGGTATAGTTAGTTTTGGTATGGTTGTGTATTGTTTAAACGGCCCATCGACAATGCGAGTCATTTAGGGCCAATCTGGGTAGAGATAGAGCAATATATTAGACTGCGACCATAGTTTAATTTACTGTATGTTGCATTGAAACTTTAATTTTGTTAATTTCATGATGAAAAAATTACCAGTACTTTACGGCATCTAACCTGTTGGTCAAGAGCAACATCCATGGAGCAATATACAAAAATTTCAACAAAGCCTTTTCTAGAGATTAAATGTATGTGTCATCAATGTCAAATATAAACCTCCGGATCTGGGGTTGCAGAGCATAGCACCCTGTTCTAAAACATCAATTAAAACATTCATAGACATTTTGAGATTGTCATGTCGACAGTATATCAAGATCATAAGAGGCATAGCATATTTTTAAATATTTATCTCTGTGTTTGTTCGTTTGGGTTTTTTGGCCATTACCATTGCTTTGCTTTTATTTTCAATTTGTTTTTTATTTTTCTTACCGACCATCAGAGGTATCCACATGCCCGTTTGATATATCACTTTTCAATTTTCATGTCTTCCTGTTCAGTTACGACGTTTATACGTCTGTTCAGGAGAGTGCGAGTACCCCTAACTTTTGATGCAATGGATGGTGTGAATTGAAGTTGAGGTACTGGTCTGTGTAATTGTTTTTTTCTGTTTACCAGCAATCTGATTGAACCGTCAGCTCTTGTTACGATAGGGTATCAAAGAAAGCAAATTTTTCGTCTGCCTCTTCTCCTGATCCAATTTTGAGAGCCTCTTCAACTTCGTTTAGGTGCGTTGATAGATTGTGTACCCCACCTTTCTTGACTAAGATAGCGTCAACATATCTTTTCTATACTTTAGGACGACACTCCATCGGAGCGGTTGTGTTGGTTTTCTGTTCCATATCCTCCTAAATAGATTGGAAAAACAACTGGTTTCTAATCTCCCCATAGCTACCCAACACTTTCACTGCGAAGTATGTCCTAAATGAGAAATAAGTAGTGTTTATTATCAACTAAAACAACTAAATTTTGGAACAGGAACACTCGTTCTATTCTTAAGGGTTCTCTCTCCTTTCAACCTATCCCTTATTACCTCAATAGCCTCGGTTGTTTTATAGTATTTTAGAGAATGTTGATAGATTTTGACTACTTGATTACAATATTATTTTTCCTGTTTTCGACGACCAGGAAATTAAAACTTGAGACGTGACCATACCACTATACACTACGAATTGAGAGTTGTGAATCCGTGGACCCTGAAAGAACCACAGTCACATGGATTGGAATGGACATTTTATTTCTACAAGGAATGATAATATTTCTTTGGCATTTATACTAACCTTCGTGTACAGTTTGACCAGCCTGAAATAACATCAGTATTAACAGCACGGAGAGTCTTTGTGTTTATTAAATTTAAGGTTTTAAGTAGAGAAATGGAGCAATTATTATACACAAGTACAGTTTATTGTAGCGGTATGGTCTTCGATTACCTGTGGACATATTTGTATTGTCTTTTATTAGTACACATATGTTTTTTCATTAATATATTTTTGAACATGATATCTAATAATAATAATTAATCATTCGAGGTTCTTATATACCGCTTTATCACAACCTAGTTCGCATATCGTCTCAAAGCGGTTTACAAATTATTATCTGTGGTTATACGGCCTTTGCAACACGCCAATATCTTTCTCAACTCCCTGGGGAGCATACCGTCGGTGCTGCCATTTCACCGCTCACAGCTAGCATTAAACAATTCTAGCACTGCCCAACCACGTACTCATTTACAACTTAGTAGACTGGAACTAGCGGAGTAAAGTATCTTGCTCCAAGATACAACACAGTGCCGTGTCGTGACTCGAACCCACAACCCTTCGGTCACGAGCCCCATTTTATTTTTATTTTAAATCTAAATATTAAATATTTTAAGTTTAAAATTGAAACTGTAATGATAATAATTTAAAACTGTTTTCTGTTTGGTCCTGTTTCTTGAGAAGTATAAATCCTACACATAATAAACTTTAACCGAAGATCCGTCTCTGTATTACTCTTATCATCAGATGCAGTTGGGATCCTAATTTGTATAGACAAGTATTATTGTCAGTAAAATCAGACAATGAACTTTATCCATTTAGCTCATTCCCTGCAGATCAAATGTAATTGATGGTTCAAAGCGTAGAGAGGCGGGACAGAAATTCTTAAAACAAATTAAGATACTTTTCTTGAGAGGAATCAATTTCTGTCATAATTAGTGGATTTGTTGTAAAACAGTTTCCTCTTTTAACAGGTTCATGAATGTATATAGTATTAACCTTACAACTTTTATTTACACTCTGTTTATATATCTTATTAATAAAATCAACATAAGATTGAACAAAGACAGCAGGTCATCAGAAAATGTACAAAATGTATTTATTTCACCTTTTTATATTTTATTCTAACAGATAGTCTGCGAATTGATGTTCGGAAATCAGCCTACTATTTTCACAACATCATTCAAACAAAAACAAACGTTCTACGTCCATGTTTCTTCCATAGCTTTTGTCCGGTTATGAGTGAGTGAAAGCATGTCGTCTACTTGGTACAGTCTCTCTGTATCATCTCCTCCCAGTCCGGCCAGAACGTTTCCTTCATTCGTTCACAGTAGTCGCATAGGTTAGGATACTCTGTAAGCAAGGACATTTACATTATAACAACACTTAATTCAAATCTTAGTGGTCAACATAGCGTTTCATTTTTTGTCTCCCTATTTCAGGGACAATAATATCACATTCATTGTCATCAGTTTTCTGAAGTGAATCACTATTAATTTGATACGTTGTGTAGAAAGTCTCTTTCTTATACAATGCGCTCAGATGGAACCAACCGATTTTGTTACAGAATTTTATAGAAAATTGATAAAAAAATATTAAAAAATCGCTTGCGACGTAATAATTTTTGCTGTACGCAAATACCTCAAAAATGTCAAAACGGTATATGCTTTATGGTCCAATCAAAATAAGTCATGTATTCGTGTTTTCAAAGCGAGGGAATTTCGTTAAAATTGATTTGTTTAAAAAAGTGAAAGCTATCCATCAAAGATTCAATTAACGCAATATAGTAAAATATGGATTTGATTATCTTCACCCTTTATGACGGATGTTCCAAACCCGCCGAATGACGCCCATCTTATCTCAGCCAGGATTCCAAAGATAGCACAGTCAAATTTGCACGCTTTGTCGCCGAACAGAAACTTCTTCGATCCTGAAATAGAGATAAAAGCAAATAATGCTCTCTAACACGAATGCTTACTGTTTGAAGTGACACAAATCATCAAATCTTTGTCTTCACTATATCTTATATAACGGCCATATCATATTGCATACTTACATAGTAAATGATTTTTTTTTTTAATTTTATTTTAAAGACACTCGTTGCAAATTGTACTGCATTCAACTGACCTTTATATAACTTGCAGGAAATAGGGAAACGTGTATTTTAATCAACGACCAAATGGTTCAGGATACTTTTAACACCCATTTGAAAAATAATAACTTCAAAGAACGCGGTAAAATGCTAATAAATGATACCGGTTTCAGCGTTAGTAATATTTACCAAGGTAGTACGACAGGGCCTTAAGATCTTCTGACATGATGTGACGTATTTCCTCTGGTGTGTGTCGCCCTGTACCTTGTGCATACAGCTTCTTCCGTCTAATACGCTTTGCTAGATACCTAACATAGAAACAAATAGTATCATGGATTTGCTATTTAATGAGTTACACAATGGATATTGTCACATCTTACACATCATAATTTTACTCGTGTCTCCGATAGGCAGAAATAATGTAGACATAATAAAAATTACATTTGAAATAACTTAAACTAGGAAAAATCATGATTGTAAGGATATATTGAATGGGATAAGTGGCGTTAGGACGATGTTATTAAAAATTGCTAATAGAGGTATTTTATCTTAATTCTAAAATAAAATTTAAAAACGACTAGATCAGAGTTATCAAATTAGGGGATAGTACGTTGTTTTGAGTGGCTATACTGGCGATTAGAACATGAAACCAAATTGCATGTTCTAATCGCCAGTATAGACACGAAAAACAACGTACTATCCCCATTCTAACACACCTTAACAAATATACTACGCTAATATGTTTAGAAACATTGTATTTCCTTGTACAAAAGTACTTTGTGACCTGAACTGGCGACGTGTCATTCTGCAGCGGACTGACCAATCGGAAAGAAGCTTTCAAAAGTCGGTCATTTAGCCCCGCCCATACTGGCGAGCGCTCGATCTGTATGTTGACGAGGCGGAATATTTGGAATGTTCGTGAACGTCCTGTTACCAAAGTTTATACGACACATTCGGATTAATATTGACCAAGTTCTTACATTTCCATGTCAGTATGCATACCAATCTGTGCTTATCGACAAAATCGGTGATTATTTTTATAGATTTGTGAAGAGTTTTGTGTCAATGCATAAGACACATGTGAAATGTTTGATTTGATTTCGGATCTAAATAGATGCCTTCACACGGATGGAAAGAACGTTTCAGTAATATATGGAGGTAAGAACAAGGAATGTGTTCTTTTAGTTCATTCAACCAATGCATTTCATCGGTCGTTTCTGTTCTGTTGCCTACTAGCCTTATCAGCGGGATTTCGCTATGAGCGAGCTTGACACCATATTGTTTTTGTTAGAAACGGGGCGTGGCTTAAGTGCGATGGGAGGAGCTTAACACGATTGATCATGATTCTATCGCAGATTAGAACATGGTCCGTATCCAATCAAAACACTCGTTGCAAACGAATCGTGTTAGAATGATATATCTAGTGCACAACGCCGTTAAATATCAAATCGATTGCCAACGAGTACAGAACAATAGGATGTTGTATTTGTTGCTGGACAAACATATACCTTATATTTATCTGTATGGGCAGTCTGTGTTGGTATCAGCTCAAAAGAAAGTAAGACCAATGTAATGGCCTTTCATAATAAAAGCTTCCATTCAAATTAAATTACCATTAAGAGCGGTGAAATCTATATCCTATTTTTATATGTAATGACGCTGTTAAATTTCCGTTTTGGGTTGTGTATTTCTCATTATTAACTGAAATTTATCCGGCTAATCGTCATAATCGTATTTGATATCTTGTTTAATACCTTATAAGTCTAGAGACATTAAACGTATCCCAGCCTTCATTAGTTTCGTCAAGAACCCATCGATCTGCTACAAAGCACCTGCAAACAAAAACATGGGATCATTTTAAATACAACCTTAACTTTCTACTGTAATACATTTTTTTCTATGTATGTGTGGGACTTTGGGTATAATTTTTTCAGCGTATTGACTGTTCCTGATTGAAATACATGATATATGCTTCCGACATATTGTTAACAATATACATGTAGTCTGTAGCTTATGCTATACAGTACTTATATAGCTCCTGTTATTGTTCTCTACAGTGTGACATAATACTAATCGACCAGTATTGTCCTCTGCTAGTGTGTGAAATAATGCTAGCGTCTAAGTAGATGCTGTCCTCTGCTAGTGTGTGTCACATTGTTGGCCTACCAGTGGATACTGTCCTCTGGTAGTGTGTGTTACAATGCGAGCTTACCAGTAGATACTGTCCTTGAGTAGTATGTGAAAAAATGCTAGCTTTCCAGTAGATACTGTCCGCGGGTAGTGTGTGACATAATGCCAGCTTACCAGTAGATACTGTCCTTGAGTAGTATGTGAAAAAATGCTAGCTTTCCAGTAGATACTGTCCGCGGGTAGTGTGTGATATAATGCTAGCTTACCAGTAGATCCGGTCCGCGGGTAGTGTGTGACATAACGCTAGCTTACCAGTAGATACTGTGCTCGGGTAGTGTGTGACATAATGCCAGCTTACCAGTAGATACTGTCCTTGAGTAGTATGTTACAAAATGCTAGCTTTCCAGTAGATACTGTCCGCGGGTAGTGTGTGATATAATGCTAGCTTACCAGTAGATCCGGTCCGCGGGTAGTGTGTGACATAACGCTAGCTTACCAGTAGATACTGTCCTTGAGTAGTATGTGAAAAAATGCTAGCTTTCCAGTAGATACTGTCCGCGGGTAGTGTGTGACATAATGATAGCTTACCAGTAGATACTGTCCTCAGCTAGTGTGTGACATAATGCCAGCTTACCAGTAGATACTGTCCTTGAGTAGTATGTGAAAAAATGCTAGCTTTCCAGTAGATACTGTCCGCGGGTAGTGTGTGATATAATGCTAGCTTACCAGTAGATACTGTGCTCGGGTAGTGTGTGACATAATGCCAGCTTACCAGTAGATACTGTCCTTAGGTAGTGTGTGACATAATGCTAGCGTACCAGTAGATACAGTCCTCGGGTAGTGGGTGACATAATGCTAGCTTACCAGAAGATACTGTCCTTGGGTAGTGTGTGACATAATGCTAGCGTACCAGTAGATACTGTCCGCGGGTAGTGTGTGACATGATGCTAGCTTACCAGTAGATACTGTCCGCGGGTAGTGTGTGACATAATGATAGCTTACCAGTAGATACTGTCCGCGGGCAGTGCGTGACATAATGCTAGCTTACCAGAAGATACAGTCCTCGGGTAGTGTGTGCCATAATGCTAGCTTACCAGTAGATCCGGTCCGCGGGTAGTGTGTGACATAATACTAGCTTACCAGTAGATACTGTCCTTGAGTAGTATGTGACAAAATGCTAGCTTTCCAGTAGATACTGTCCGCGGGTAGTGTGTGACGTAATGCTAGCTTACCAGTAGATACTTTCCTCGGGTAGTGTGTGACATAATGCCAGCTTACCAGTAGATACTGTCCTTAGGTAGTGTGTGACATAATGCTAGCGTACCAGTAGATACTGTCCGCGGGTAGGGTGTGACATAATGCTAGCTTACCAGAAGATACAGTCCTCGGGTAGTGTGTGCCATAATGCTAGCTTACCAGTAGATCCGGTCCGCGGGTAGTGTGTGACATAATGCCAGCTTACCAGTAGATACTGTCCTTAGGTAGTGTGTGACATAATGCTAGCGTACCAGTAGATACTGTCCGCGGGTAGTGTGTGATATAATGCTAGCTTACCAGTAGATCCGGTCCGCGGGTAGTGTGTGACATAATGATAGCTTACCAGTAGATACTGTCCGCGGGTAGTGCGTGACATAATGCTAGCTTACCAGAAGATACTGTCCTTGGGTAGTGTGTGACACAATGCTAGCCAACCAGTAGATACTGTCCTCGAGTAGTGTGTGAGATAATGCTAGCTTACCAGAAGATACAGTCCTCGGGTAGTGTGTGAAATAATGCTAGCTTACCAGTAGATCCGGTCCGCGGGTAGTGTGTGACATAATGCTTGCTTACCAGTAGATACTGTCCTCTGGTAGTGTGTGTTACAATGCGAGCTTACCAGTAGATACTGTCCTTGAGTAGTATGTGAAAAAATGCTAGCTTTCCAGTAGATACTGTCCGCGGGTAGTGTGTGATATAATGCTAGCTTACCAGTAGATCCGGTCCGCGGGTAGTGTGTGACATAATGCTTGCTTACCAGTAGATACTGTCCTCTGGTAGTGTGTGTTACAATGCGAGCTTACCAGTAGATACTGTCCTTGAGTAGTATGTGACAAAATGCTAGCTTTCCAGTAGATACTGTCCGCGGGTAGTGTGTGACATAACGCTAGCTTACCAGTAGATACTGTCCTTGAGTAGTATGTGACAAAATGCTAGCTTTCCAGTAGATACTGTCCGCGGGTAGTGTGTGACATAATGATAGCTTACCAGTAGATACTGTCCTTAGGTAGTGTGTGACATAATGCTAGTATACCAGTAGGTATTGTCCTGTGCTAGTGTGGGACATAATGCTAGCTTACCAGAAGATACAGTCCTCGGGTAGTGTGTGCCATAATGCTAGCTTACCAGTAGATACTTTCCTCGGGTAGTGTGTGACATAATGCTTGCTTACCAGTAGATACTGTCCTCGGGTATTGTGTGACATAATGCTAGCTTACAAGTAGATACTGTCCTTGGGTAGTGTGTGACATAATGCTAGCGTACCAGTAGATACTGTCCGCGGGTAGTGTGTGACATAATGCTTGCTTACCAGTAGATACGGTCCTCGGGTAGTGTGTGACATAATGCTAGCATACCAGTAGATACANCTCGGGTAGTGCGTGACACAATGCTAGCTTACCAGTAGTTACTGTCCTCGGGTAGTGTGTGACACAATGCTAGCTTACCGGTAGATACTGTACTCGGGTAGTGTGTGACACAATGCTAGCTTACCAGTAGATACTGTCCTCGGGTAGGGTGTGACATAATGCTAGCTTACCAGTAGATACTGTCCTCAGCTAGTGTGTGACATAATGCCAGCTTACCAATAGATACTGTCCTCGGGTAGTGTGTGACACAATGATAGCTTACCAATAGATACTGTCCTCGGGAAGTGTGTGACATAATGCTAGCTTACCAGTAGATACTGTCCTCGAGTAGTATGTGACATAATGCTAGCTTACCAGAAGATACTGTCCTTGGTTAGTGTGTGACACAATGTTAGCTTACCAGTAGATACTGTCCTCGAGTAGAATGTGACATAATGCTAGCTTACCAGTAGATACTGTCCTTGAGTAGTATGTGACAAAATGCTAGCTTTCCAGTAGATACTGTCCTTGGGTAGTGTGTGACACAATGCTAGCTTACCAGTAGATACTGTCCG